GTTAGGATAAGTTGCATTTCATACGCAAATGCATGGAAGAAGAGAAAATGAAAAAAACATGGGCCTAAGCTTCTTGGATTGGGTTGCACAGGAATGGACTTGAACCACTCGCTATTTTAATGGCCTCTGCAGAGTCTGCAAGCCTTAAAATATATTAAATGTTATTTGCGGATTATTCAGTGAAACAAGGATGTTCTTCTTGTGATTTATGGGTTTATGTTGATGCTTTTCTTCTTTTGTAAGCTAATTCACTGCTTACTTCCACTTAAGATAAAGTTCTCAAATTTTTAACTATCTAGGAGCTTGATGATTAATCTATACTAGTTGAATTAAGGTGAACCTAGCTAATTGATTGTTGAACAATTTAATAATAATCTAGCAATTATGACAGATAACACAAAATCATGAATGAGACCCTAAGCACGCTTTGTTTCAGGGTAGCACACTGTTTCAATAAGCTTTATTAAACCTTCCGTTCAAATTATACAAATCACATGTAGCCTACGAAGAAAATGAGAAAGCGGTAGCAGATTGGCACAGAAAACTATAGTAAAAGGAAAATTATGTGCTGCAAGCAAGCTGTTTCCTGTTCTGAACTCACAATTTTATTTTAATGGAGGTATAATACTTAATTTTAAAGCTTTGCATAAAAAAGAAAATTCAAAAGTTTGCCACTGTGCCGTGCTGGAGAATGTGGTTCAGACCCTATTGTTATTAATTAAGCTCATGCCAAATTTACAATAAGGCTTAAGCAAGAAAGTATAATTAAGCTGGCACGTGATACTCTATGGATTTAATGGATATTTAAACAAAGCAACTTCAGAATCTGATACTGTTTTGTTATGTTACCTTTAAAAAATCATTAAACAGTGTTATCCACTGCGTGCATCTAATGAAGACATGAAACAGACACCGACACGACACACGGTTGCACAAGTACCACGATTAAGATAGGAGGAGACTCACAAAGGATAGGGATCCAGCAATCCTATTATATATCAGCTTCAAATATATATTTTAATTTTATTGTTCTTACGAATTAATATTTGTATTTAAAAATATGGTTTATAATTCTTATATAGATAATTTTTTTCACGTTTTAATATCTGTTATTTTAATAAAAAAGTATTATTTATTAAGTTATTCTTGTTAAATTACATCATTTTTTTAATGATGTTACAACTTAAAGAAATTATAAATAAATATCACACACACACGTGTATATATATATATATATAAATATATAATTCACATTTAATTATAATCTTATTACTTAACTTTATGCTGATGCTGCTGGCGTAGTTTTCTTTAGAAGTAAGCTAGTCAACTCTCTCTGCATATACATACATACAGAGAGAGAGAGAAGTATACGAGGCTTGAGGTTCTTCCATTATTATAAATGCAAAGCTTCCTCGAGTTTTGGGTTAATTGTATCATTACGTTGATGTTGATTGCAAAGGGCTACTCTTATCGAAATCCAGTTTATCTGAGGGTTAATTGAGTAAGTATCTTCTTAATTTAAGGGTTCAATGTGTTATTCAAGTAAAATCATATAAATTGTGTTGCATTATACATATATATTTCTATTGATCCTTAATTTTTATAATTTTTTAAATTATAAATAAAACCTTTGTTTTTTATTTAATTCCTTCTCCAACTTAAGTTAGAGTCAAATTATTAATAATAAATAATATATTTTATTTAGCTTGAATATTAGTTATTCATTAATCTTGTAGTTATAATTCATTGTTCTAAATATAAAATTATAATACTTTTTAATTTAATAAAAAACACTAAAAATAATTTTTTGTAAAAGTATATACAATATTTCAGTATTGGTATAGAAACAGTAATAACAACACAATACTAATAATTTTAAGAAAAAAAATTAAGTGAAAGACTAAATAGAAGAAAACTAATCCATTAGTTATATAAAATTTAATTACAATACATTGACTATATAAATATTTTTTTATATTTTCATTTAATTCTATATTATTATATTATATTTCAAACAATTAATAATAATATTCTAGGTTTACAGCGCATCAAATCAAATTCATATATAATACATGTTTATAATGAAATTATTTATTATTGTTTTTTGAATCTTAACAATTTATTATGTTATAATGTTTTGAAAAAATAATAATAACTAAAATAATCAATAAATCAATTAATTTTTTTTATAGTTCCCTTTTTAATTTTCATAAATATTTTTAACCATACGAGAGAAAGCGATAAAAGAGGCAAATTTTAATTAATTGTTTTTTACGGAGGTTAAAAAAATAATAAAATAAGGTTATATTAATAAAAAATTAAAATATATTTGATTGGTAGGTGAAGAATTGTATTTTTTTTAAAAATTAATTTTTATTTTATTTTATCTAGAATATATGTATTTTTAATTTAAGATAATTTTTATTTATATTTTAAGTGATAAAATTATTTTTTTGAGTATTTAATATAGTTATATTTATTAAAATTCTAATATAAAATTATAAATTAAAATAAAATATTTTCATTATATATATATATATATATATATATATATATATAATCTCTTGATGTCGATGTGTATGTAAATTATAGATAGTTTTTATTTAATTAAATTTTTATTAATTTTTATAGAGAATTTTGAAATGTCTTTTATTTAGTTAAATAAAATAATATAAGCATGAGTATATTATTATTAATAATTCTTTTATTATTATAAATATACTTAAAAAATATAACAAAAGATACAATAATTATAAAAGCTTATAATTTTAAATTTTTACTATAACTTAAACCTATTAAGATAATATAAAAAAACAATGTAGTTAATAACTATATAATTGATTTATTATGATTAAGATATTAAAATATAAACGGTAAAAGATACTTTAATTTGAGCTGAAAAAATATTGATTAATTAAAGAAAATCTATATAAATTTATTTATAGAAATTAAAAAAAAACACATATTATAAAATAATGATAGTAATAAATTTATAAATATTATACTAACGCAAATTCTTTTAATAATAAACTCACTTATGTTCGATTTAGGTCAAGTTCAAATTAAACTGAATAAAAAAAAGTTTTAAAATATAATATTTTAATAATTATAATAACAATTTAAAACATTTGATAAAATTAGTAGATAATTGTATTATTGTGATTAAAATAAATAAAATAAAATATAGATTACAACTATATCTTCGATTTGAATAGAAAAAAAAATCCCATACTAGTTTAAAATAAAATATAAAAATATAAATTATAAAAAAAACCATTAAATATAATCAACGGTATAAAAATATTACATTTTCTTAAAATGATAATAAATTTCTTTTAAAGATTTATGCTTAGTCTTTTTTATTTTACGTAAAAAATGTTGGAATTTTTTTTAATAATATTATAAAATTTAAAAATATAAAGAGAAATTGCAAATAATGAATTTCATTTAAAATATAATTTAAATATACAGATAGTGAAAAATTTGTATCCTATCACTTAAATTCAAATTGTTATATTAATAAAAACATTTAATTTTTATAATCGTTAATATGATAATCATATTTATAATATATTTTAATTGGTTCATGAATCGCATTGTTAATATATTCAAATTAAATTCATAAATAATAATATAACACACATTTAAATTTTATTAATTATATAAAAGCGATATCATTATCCACTCGAACAGAATTATTTATCGTAAAGAATATTCATTGATTGAAATGAAATATTGCTAATTAAGGAAGTAAAAACAGTGGAAGATAAAACTAAATCCTTCGTTCTTTTTTCAACCAGAGGAATCCATATCCATGTTAAGCAATGGTTATGGTGGTACTTACTTCTTGTACCTCAGACTCTGAGCTTGAAGCTCAAATGCTGCTGCTAATTCTGCAACAATTGGCGTCGCCCAGAATTCTCCATGTTGTTGTCCCTTTTAAGGTTAAGGCCATGCTTGAATTGTTAATTTAATAACTACAATATGCATGAATAAAAGTAATAACATGATCTTATACAAAAACTTTATAGTATTATTTCAAAGTTTCATGATAAAACAAAAAACAAATTCTATTTGTATTGTTTCAAAATATACAAAACGATGAAATATCTTTATTCAAGTGGTTTTATTAAAACAAAACGACATTTCATTCTATTCCCCAGTTTATTTCTTTTTATTAATCAATCTAAAACAACCTTACCTTCATCAACTTCTGTCTACTTGAAAAAAAGAAACTGTGTTTTTTTTATTCATTTTATTGTCTCATGTTATGAATTGTGATATTTTATTCGTTGGTTTTAAAAATAGTAAATATGTATTTTAAAAACTACATGATCAAAACTATATATAGGAATTGTTTAAATCTCACAATTTTTTTTATTAATACTTGATTTTTACCAGGGACATTAATTAGACAATATAATCTGATTTTCAGGCCCATTTAAGTAAGTAATTCGCAACGAAAAATATTAGACGAGTTTAAATAATTATTAGTAGTAAAAAATTTCTTTTAATGTAAAAATATTTTTTTAATAAAAATTACTGTTTTTAAATGTTTAAAATTAAATTTAAAAAGTTAAAATTGACAAAATTGATAATTAAATTTGACAAAATACAAAAACAATGTATACAAAATATATATAGATATAAAGTGAAATGTATACAAAATATATATAGATATAAAGTGAAGCATCACGCAATTAAATTTTGTAAACATAACCAAAGAAAAATTATTTGAACCTCACAACATCTCCCTTCAAGAAGGAACCAAAGAAAAATCTCCATCCAAATGCACGAACACGGTGCAGCAATTCATTCCAAATAAGGCAAAAACCATGCATTTTTATTTATGGACATTTCATGCCTCCATCCAAAGCAATAACAAAACAACCTTAATCTCTTACACACACACACACACCCCACAAAACAACTTTAGACATGCGACCAGCCCAACAATTATAGCAGAACGCACAAAAGCAAAGTGTCAAAAACCTTTTAACACCGAATATTGAATAAGATTCAATTAGATTTGTTGTTTTTTTATTCTCCCATCCTCCAAGCACAAACGCCAGTGCTTTAATACAAACATAATAAAAACCCTAAGCTGAGTGTAACAACAACAAATCTTGGAACACTCAATCTGCACCGTCAATGCTTGATCCAACGGTCAATAAGAGAGGAAAGCTCGTACTTATCACTCTTCACCATCTTCACACTCGCAGACTCGCCACTGTTTCTGTTTCTCTCCTAACATGGACCAACACATTCTTCATCCTCCACGTTCTTCTACTTCTTAACTATTAACTCCGATCCTCATTTCAATTTCGACCCATCAAACCAATCGCCATACCCATCAATAAAGTTTCAGCTTTTTCTCACTTCAACTTTCAGAACTCGCGTTACTGATTATTCCCGAAACCCCAACAAAAAAATTGAATCTTTTTTGTTTGTTGGTTAAGATTCGAAACTGTTCACAGTGGAATCGCTTTAAACTCGTTCTGTGCTCAAAGTTTCAGTCTTTGTGAGTGTTTGGTTGCGTTGTTGTTTTCGGTTTTGAGTGGGTAGAGTGAAGCTTTTGCGTTTTTATCTAATGGTGAGTGATAGCTACTCGAAGATGATGTCTGATGTGGCGATTCGATCGATGTTGAAGAAGGGTGATTATGGCGAGGATTTGGGGGTTCAGAGAGAGAGAGAACTCGCGAGGTTGCGAAGTGGATCAGCGCCTCCCACCGTGGAGGGGTCGTTAACGGCGGTTGGAGGGTTGTTTGAGGCTTCTCCGGCGGTGGGTGCCGGGGGGTTTGGCGGTGGAAGGGGTTTTGGGAGTGAGGAGGAGCTTCGGGCTGATCCGGCTTATGCGAATTATTACTATTCGAATGTGAATCTGAACCCGCGGTTGCCGCCTCCGACGGGGTCGAAGGAGGATTGGCGGTTTGGCCGGCGGTTGAGGGGTGGTTCTAAGGTGGGTGGAATTGGAGATGGTGATAGCTCTTTGTTTTCTGTGCAGCCTGCTGGGTTTGATGGGAAGGAGGAGGAGAGTGGTGTTAAGCACAGTAAGGGCGGTGCTGCCGCGGAATGGGGTGGTGATGACGGGTTGATCGGCTTGCCGGCATTGGGTCTTGGGAGTAGGCAGAGGAGTATTGCAGAACTGTTTCAGGTGGGAGTTGTGGTAGTTCTTTTAACTTGGTGTTTGTAATTGTAATTCTTTTTGTATGTGTGTTTGTGTAGTTATTTTATTTGTTTTTGTTATTTTGAGCTTCTTTTATGTTTATATGTTTGTTCTTTGCTTTATTTCTGTTCTTTTTGGTGATTAATGGTTTGTTACTTTAATTGAAGAGTCGGTTGTAAGGTATGGCCGTGTGTGAGAGAGTTGTTCTTATAAGATGGAAAGCAATGCACAACACTGTATTTGTGTATATCAATTTTAAATTTTCGTGTTCGTGTATTGTATTGTACCCGAATCTGCGCAAAATAGCATAACTGTATAGTACATTCATCAGCATTGTTTGAACGCCGCGTGCAGGTATTCTTTTTGGATTAAGCTGAGACACAATTGGGCCACAATGAGGGTCTGTAGAATGCAGATTGATTAATTTCGGGATGTTGGTTTCTTTTATTTTCTGTTTTTGACTAGAATCTGTCTCTTAGATGGTGCTGTTGACTTGTCTATGCTGACTAGGCACGAGTTCTAGTGGATTTTTGAGTCACTCAACTTTTCTTGCATATTGTTTGTTTCGCATTTATTATTCGAATTGCCATTTGGCTGACTGGTTTTCACTTTCTAATTGGAGCTCAATTTGAAGAATTTGCAGAATAAATGTGGATAAGGTTTTTTTTGGGTTTTAGGTTTAAAACATCATCTTTACTAATTAATTCTGCAATGAATGTTTGGTGATATTATATTTTTGGTGATCATGAGAAGGAAATTTTGATTTTCAAGAAGTGATGCGTCAAACATTTCTTCTCATTTTATCATTTAGTCAGTGGCATAGTTTCTGATGGTTTGATTGTTGTGTCTCCAAAGCAGGATGAGATAAATGGTGCATCAGCTGCCTCTAAGCACCCTCATAATTTGCCTGGCAGTAATGTATTTGATGATATTGCAGAAAAATCAGAAACACATTTTGCTTATGTGCATCAAGAATTGGATGCCCTGCGGTCTGGCAGAAATAAGCAGGGCATATCTGCTGCCCAGAATTTTGTTGGTTCAGGGCCTCAAACTTATGCTTCAGCTTTGGGAACCTCCCTGTCAAGAAGTAGCACCCCTGACTCTCAACTTCTACCTAGGGCTTCTAGTCCTTGCCTTCCACCCATTGGCGATGGCAGGTCCAGTTCTGCAGATAGACGAAGTTCCAATGGTCAAAACTCACTTAATTCTGTCTCATCTAATTTAAATGAGCCTACAGATCTGGCATCTGCTTTGGCTAGTATGAATCTGTCATCAAATGATAAAATAGACGATGAGAAACATTCCCTGTCACCAAGCCACAATGGATCAGATTATGCTCATAGTGTTAAACAGCACCCCTACTTAAACAAGCCTGAGACCTTGCCTTTTCAGCGTCATTCTGCTGCCCAACCCCATTTGAAAGTGAATAAAAGCAGTGGTTTTGGATTGGATCTGAATAACTCATCAGGATATGCAAACGAACAGCTTGAACCTCATAAAGCTGGTGGAATTTCCGTCAACTCACATTTAAAAGGACCTTCTACACCAACTTTCACTAACAGGGGTAGTTCACCTGCTCGCTATCAGAATGTTGACGATATCTCATACCCTAACTATGGCATGACTGGGTATACTGTTAATCCATCATCACCATCGATGATGGCAAGCCAGCTTGGGAGTGGTAATTTGCCTCCTTTCTTTGAAAATGCTGCTGCTGCATCTGCGCTAGGATTGAATGCTATGGACTCTAGAGCCCTGGGAAGGGGTGCAACCTTAGGACCTTTGTTGGCTGCATCAGAATTACAAAATCCAAGCAGGCTGGGAAATCATGCTGCAGGTGGCACTCATCAGCTGCCCTTGATGGACCCTTTGTATCTTCAGTATTTGAGATCAGGGGAAGTTGCTGCTGCTGCACAGATTGCTGCCCTTAATGAATCGGCAATGAATAGGGAATGCACAAATAATTCATTCACAGATTTACTTGGCCTCCAGAAAGCTTATGTTGAGTCTTTAATTGCCCCCCAAAAATCACACTTAACTTCTCCATACCATGGTAAATCAGCTACCTTGAACCATAATTCTTATGGAAATCCATCATATGGTCTGGGCATATCATATCCAGGCAGCCCCTTGGCTGGTTCCCTTTTCCCAAACTCTATCTATGGACCAGGTAGTCCTATAAGCCAAAGTGAACGGAATATGCATTTGTCTGGGATGAGGAATGGGGTTGGGGGTTTCATGGGAGCTTGGCATTCAGATACTGTTGGTAGCTTGGATGACAATTTTGCATCTACCTTGCTTGACGAATTCAAAAGTAACAAGACCAAATGTTTCGAACTTTCAGAAATTGCTGGCCATGTTGTTGAGTTCAGGTGCATACTGGTGATCACGCTATGTTTTGCTTCTTGACTTCTAATATTTAGCTAACCCATATTTTTGTATTCTTCGCTAAACAGTGCTGACCAGTATGGAAGCCGATTTATCCAACAGAAACTTGAGACGGCCTCGATGGAAGAGAAAAACATGGTTTTCCATGAAATCATGCCACAAGCACTTTCTCTAATGACTGATGTCTTCGGTAATTATGTGATTCAGAAGGTAATTTTGATCATTTCTTAGTATTTATGCTATGAATAAAATCTCATTACATTTTCTCCTTGAACTTGTATAGTATAGTGTTTTTGTTAATTGTTATGTTCAAGTCGGTATCATATTCACTTTATAAAGCAAATTCAATACATGCCTAACTTATTGCGGTTCATGTTTAGTTTTTTGAGCATGGAACAGGAGCCCAAATAAGAGAATTGGCTGATCAGCTTACTGGTCATGTGCTGACCCTAAGTCTTCAAATGTATGGCTGCCGAGTCATTCAGAAGGTCTGCTCATCAATTTATCTACCTTCTGACTGTTTCCTTAATTAAATGCCCTACTGTTTTGTATGTTCTACAAATTCTGCAGTTGATTCTAATGGATTGTGGTTTGTTACGAAGTAGTCAATCACACTTTTGAGGCCTCTAGTGACTACAGCTTAGGCAAGTGTTGCATTTTGCCATTGAAGTGATAGTGACTGTTGCAGCCTCTACAATGAACAGGGGAAAAACCTCCACCCTCTTGTTTGCTCTTGCCTAGAGGGTTTTCCAATCAACCCTACCCTTTTCCCAGCCAAGCCTGCTCTTTTTGTTGCCAAGTCCTGCCATAGGCTTGTGGCTTGGTTTCAACAGCAGCTTCTTGAAGAAGCCTTCTCCCTTTTGTGCTTACTATTCATTTCTGTTTCCTTAATAATTTCAAGTCATTTGTTAGTGATTCCTTTAACTATTTCCCTTTGCGGTAGATCTATTTTAGAAACAAGAAGTCATCACTGTCCTTTTCTTTTGGCTATTGGCATCATTGTCCCACTTTAGCAATAACTGCTATTCCTTTTATTTATTTATTTTGTGCTTCCAAGACTTCTTTTTTTGGTAATCTAAATCGTTCATAACATGAATGGTGATTTTTTTAAAATGAATTGAAACTTCCTTTATTGTTCAATAGTTTATGGTGCAAAATTTTAAAACTATTAGGATTATTAATAGAGTATTATTGATGGATTTCTTAATATTGAGTACTTTTGTTTAGTCATGAACAATTATACTATAATTATTTTTTGTATTGTAACTGCTACCTTTTGTATAGCTGTTGTTTCATGATTTGCTACAATTTTGGGGTTGCTACTTTGGTTTGTATGTCAAAATTTGCTGCATGGTAATGCTTTTCGGTGTTATATTATGTGGAAATGCCAGGAACATGTCATCCCAATGTTACACTAATTGTTACTACTAGAACTGCCATCAAACTGCTCTGTTGTTAATGATATATCATTTTGAATTGTCAAAGCACCCTTGTTGAAATAATCAGAATGGCCTTTTGATCTTATTTGATATAATCATGTATTTTTTTGGATAAACATTTCACATTTTACCAATGGGTGGGGGTGGTTGCTTGGGAGCAATCCAAGTCTTTTATTTAGTGTGTTGCATTTTTCTTGATGTCAGAAAAGATATGGTATCTACTAGTGTTGTTTGACTGATATTTTGACTTTTTATACTGTGAATGTTAAGTGCTGCAGTGTTTTGTATGGGTTGATGGTAAACTCAACAGTTATTCATTTTGTTTTTCTTTTCTTAATTGTCTAGGCTATAGAAGTTGTTGAAATGGATCAGCAGACTAAAATGGTTACCGAGTTGGATGGTCATATAATGCGTTGCGTACGTGATCAAAATGGAAACCATGTCATCCAGAAGTGTATTGAATGTGTACCTGAAGATGCTATCCATTTTATCATTTCAACGTTTTATGACCAAGTTGTGACATTGTCAACTCATCCTTATGGCTGCCGTGTTATACAGGTTACAGATGTATCTTTTGCTTTAGTTTGTGTAAAAATATTGTTCCTGGATTAATAGCTTCAAAGATAGACATTATAGTTCTAAACTGGTTAAGTTTCAATGAGCAGAGAGTCTTGGAGTACTGCCACGATCCCAAAACGCAGCAGATTATGATGGATGAGATTTTGCAGTCTGTCTGTATGTTAGCACAAGACCAATATGGGAATTATGTTGTGCAGGTTTGTTTTAGTTTACTTTGGTTTTTGCATATTATTCAGTTGATTACAACTTGTGATTTTATTTTCTACTTGTTTGCAGCAGTCACATGTTCTTCTGTGTTAATATTATCCGGAACAATATTGACACTTGGTATCAAAAATCAATTTAGTGTAGAAAACATTGAGTGAATTGTGAAATCCTGTTGTTGTAAAAACTCAATGATAGTGTATCCCTTTTCCATGCTGGGATTGTGGAAGTTGTTAATGAAATGCTGGAAGTTTAGTGAGGTTGTCTTTGTGATTTTAATAGCTTAATATTATACAAACTATAGGCAATGCAATTAAGGATTTCCTGGTCAATAATTTATCAATGACATGATTTATTACTCACCCGATGGGAAAGGCCCTGGTGATTGTTCTTGTAATATATAAAATGAAGTGCAAACCTGTGTTTTGATTTTTTTTTTAACTGTTGGCCTTCCAATGTTCTTCTTTATCCTTCATTTTGGCTATCGAGATATTTGTAAGCTAAGGAGATATTCATAATCTTGTTTCCTGCTATGAATTGATGAGTTTTTTTATTGACTCTTTAGATTTAGCTAATTTTCCTTCCATGTCTTTGATTGTTGGTTAAAAATTTCAGCATGTACTGGAGCATGGCAAGCCATATGAACGTTCAGCTATAATCAAAGAATTAACAGGGCAAATTGTGCAGATGAGCCAACAGAAGTTTGCCTCTAATGTTATAGAGAAGTGTCTAACTTTTGGAACACCTACAGAGCGTCAAGTCCTTGTGAATGAGATGCTTGGTTCCACTGATGAAAATGAGCCCCTACAGGTTTGTGCATGAACAATGATCCCCATCAATGAACTGAACCCATTATCTCCTGTCATGTTGCTTTATGCATCATTTAGCCATTTTTTACCAAAAGTAGAGTTTGCAATAGTTTTATGAATATTCTTACCCCTTTTTTCCATTATTTGTCCATGTTATTATTTTATTAAATAATTTTTTCTTAATCAAACTACATGTTACATTTATTTGGATTTCTGAAGCAACACATTTATTTGACGACTTCTGGTTTTTACCGGCTCAGATTGTTCTTATCAACATGCATGTTCTATGAAATTTTTCTTCATGTATATCAGTCAAAAGCAGGCCTTTCTTTATTTTCTACCCTATGAAGGACCCCATTAGTCTCTTAAGCTGAGTTTGAGTTGCTTCATAGCTGCACCCAGTCTAGTCAATGAAAATTTCTTGCTGATTTGAGAGGTCATTTGTACATTTTTCATCCTACACTGAGGGGTATGCAGTGGTGGAGGTTATCTAATTTGCTTATTTTCAAGTGATCCTATGTTTATCTTTTTCCAGTTGGTATTCTATCAGATACTTCATGGTTCTGACCCTAGCATTAGTTTATTTTTATCTTATACTCTGTATGGAGTCTAGTATTACATAATAACTAATGTTGGATGAATGAAAAAAACTAAATATACTATGCGACTGGACAAACAATTAAGAGGATATTTTCTTCTGTTTTGATTATATAACTTTTTTTTGTTAGAAAAAAAATTCAGCTCTTATTTTCAAGAAATTGGTCTGGTTTAAGTTGATATTGTCATTCTTGTTTTAATGTTAATTGACCTTTTGCCATTTTATCACTATTTCAACTTTTCTTATATTTTCTGTATTTTTGTTGGTTTTAGGTTATGATGAAGGATCAATTTGCAAACTATGTTGTACAGAAAGTGCTGGAAACCTGTGATGACCAACAACTTGAGCTAATCCTTAATCGAATAAAGGTTCACCTGAATGCCTTGAAGAAGTATACCTATGGGAAGCACATTGTTGCCCGTGTAGAGAAATTGGTTGCTGCTGGGGGTATTTCCAATCTCATAAACTTTCATTTTTGCTCACATATGACATATATACTATTCTATGTTTGGAAGTTACAAAACTTGCGTGCGTATATAGCAATCTCTCTTTGAAGAAAATGTTTCTTTCCATTCAACTGTGAGGTTTGATGATTTTCTCGAACAATCGTTTTATTCAATAAACCAGGATCATGAAGTAGGGTGATCTATTCATGATATCTGGTAATGTTTTGCGATTCATTAGTTGTTCTCAGTACGGTAATGCCAGATGAATAATTTTCACTTTTTATTCCATGCTAAAAGGATGTCCAAAATAGACTTCCAGGTGCCCCACATGTGTATAAATATTTTGTTGGAAAAGTCATGAATTGACATGAAGTGAATTTGCATGCAGTTTTAATATTTCTTTGGATGTTATTTGATTATGTGTATTTAACTTAGTAAAATATTGTGTTTTGTTTTGTGCAGAGAGGAGGATTAGTGTTCTTACTCTGAATCCTGCACAGATGGTATAGAAAATGTACAGCTAACTGAGGATAATACAAGCACCTGCTCTTTTTTCTTTTAATATCTGGTAATGCTAATGGCCCTGTCTGTATTCAGGTAGACAGAAGCTGATTGGAAGTAATAAATTGTTAGTTGTACTTGAAATTGTACATTTGTTAGTGTGAGGATATACCTAGAATCAGTTTAGCTCAGGCATAGGCTCAGGCTTGGTTGGTAAATGATGCCTGATGCTCATGCGGCAGAGATATATTTATGAGCCATCTAGTTTTAATGTTGTAAAGGGAGTTCTTGACTGTACAAATTTTACTAGGTTATCAGAGTCCTTGTACTCCGGATCCACATATGTTTTTGATGTATGAGGCTTTACTTTCTGCTCTATCTTAAGCTTTCTTTTTTCATCCTAACATTTTTTCCTCTTGCTTGAAAAATACTGATGCTTTTTCCTTCTTGAGCTATAATAATAATTATTGAAACCTTAGTGAAGAGAGTAGATGACATAATTGTGAAAATAGGCAGAGGGAGACTTGGAAAAATTTCAAACAATTTAAAAAATTGACAGATTTAATAATAAGCAATATTTTAAAAAATTTAGTTTTGATCAAGTTCATAAGATAAGACTTGGTTGTTGATTAGGGTGTTAGTTAATATTTGCCTTGTTGCATAATCAATGATCCAGGTATTGTATTCAGTAGTCATACAATGGCTGGCGTGCCCCAGTTGCTACAAATCTTCATTGTTAGCTGAAATTTGCTCAACAACAATAAGATTCTAACGAGAATGTGAATGATTACGGAGGAAAATTCAAAACATGTCTTTTCTATTTTTTTTATTACATCATCTATCACTTTTGTTTCATCCCTTTCATCCCATACTCATTTGACACTTCAAAATAAGGTGCCAAAGTATCATTTTTACTCTTCAAGGACAAAATAGTTTTATCTATAACAATAACCAACCCTTTCTTTTTCATTAGGTATGGTCAACTATACAAGTTAAACGATGCTATTGTATTCTGTTGTGAATCATGACTGTAAACAAGTATTTGACTTGTACGTGTTTGAATTGAATTATTTTAGTTGGTTATTTATTAAAAAGTGTTAAAGATACTATTCAATCTTATTTGGTAACTTCTGAAAAATCAGCTTATAATGTTTGTTTTTCCTTCAAAGGAAACAACTTATTGCAGATAAGCATAATTATGGAGTTTATGATTGAAAGTTGTTGGCTTATTTTCTAGTTAACTTTTATTTTCTCATTTTATCCTTAATAATTAATTATTTTAAACACACAACTATTACATATAATTTCATATATATACATATATATATATACATATATATATATATATATATATATATATATATATATATATATAGTGATTTTAACCCCTCAAAAATTTTTTTTTTATACAATCTAAGCATAATACATCAAAACATAAAACCTTTTTCTTGTATAATCAACTATCACAATATTTGACTATTGAAATAATCTACTTTTCCAACTAATCTAAACTCGCTAAATCATCTTTAATGATTTTGTTTAAGGTTTCAATTATTGGCGCAAGTTTTCATCATTGATATAAATGAGCAGTCTTGACAACTTGTTTATCAAAAAACAAAATATATCAACATGAATTAATTAATCTTAAGCATATAACATTGCTGCTACTTCAAAGCTTCCAAAACTTGCTCCTTTTTTTGAAGGTAACGAATGTTAGCTTTGGGAGAGAAATGCAAGGCAGAAGAGAGAAGTAAATTGGTAAAAGTTTGATGGACATAATGGAATTAGATGGACAAGGAAAGTAGGAGAGTGTTTAGTCTTGCATTTATGTGTTGTTCCGACCGCAAGTGGCTAAAGAGACACGAGTTGGTTCAGCCACTTCAATGCTGATTAAGGTATTTGAGAGGCCTGCGGATCAAGCAACATCCTGTTAAAGAACAAAGCTATAACAAAAAATAACAATGCATTATCCCTGGTTCATTCAAGAGAAAATATATCTATTCACTAGGAATCTAGGATATTTATTTTTCTTCATTTTTAGTTGTATGTTTTCTTAATAATTATAAACATATTATTTTATTTTCGTCACATTTTGTTTTTGTTTTTGCCTTTTCTGTTTAAAAACTTTGAAAATAGTAAATAGTGAAAATATAATATTTTTTTTAATTATTGTTAGCACTAATTCTTCAAGCATAAATATCAAGTGTTCCTATAACAATCTTGAGCATCTCTCTCTCTCTCTCTCTCTCTCTCTCTCTCTATATATATATATATATATATATATATATATCTTTTTTTCTATAATAAAATTTCAATTTTCTCATAATTTAATATAATCCATGATTTGGTGCGCATGACTAAATTACCGAAAAAGATTCCAGAGGGTTCAGAATCAAAATAAATTATTTAGACATTATTTGTCACGATATGATCTCGAAAAGTTAGATATTTTCTTATTTGTTTTTTCATTTTAATATTTTTAAAACGTCCCTTATAAAATGTTATCGTTTTAACCTTTCTTTTATTTTTTTTCATTAATTACTTTACTCTCACCGCAAATCTCAAACTTCTTCTTTTGCTTTTATATCTTGATGATCTAACATTTTATTAAAAAAAAAGTGAAATGTATTTTATGAGGGATTTTTGTGTATGTATATATATATATCATCACTTTAGGAATGTAAGATCATAAAAATTTGAAAACTCCACATTTTTCAACAATTCATGCCGTAATCTTTTAATTGACACTTGCCAAGAGAGTTTCGTATCTATCTTTGAGATGCTCAAGTTTTTTATGTTGCATCTACACTAAAATATAAGTATACGGCATGTCTAATAACTAGCTTTTCTAAAAATTTAACAAGAAATTGATTTTTTTTTCTCCTCTAATCTCTTAGCTGTTAAACGATGGGCTACGTCAATAGCCACCCTTTCATAAAAGCAGAATAACGAACTTGTGACTCCCAAATTAACATGTATAAATAAATCAATGAAAGATCAAAAGGAAAAGGGTCCATAAACCTTGCATGCATGAGGGGGAAAATAAAATAAAATAAAATAAAATAGTAAGAGAAAAGGTAGGTAGAAATTTATTTGTAAAGCGAAATCCATTTGAATATTTACCTCTTTTGTCCATGAATCATTATTATGTGTGGAATTATAGCTGGGAATTGGAACATGTCCAGATTCTATATGCTTAAGGTCCTCCAAAAGGATTTCATAGTGTCTCTTCACTTCTTCAGCTGATTTATCACCAACTACTTTGGCTATGTTTTTCCATCGATCTGGTGTGTCTTTGTCATACAAAGCAAGTGCTCTTTCGAATTGCTTGTTCTGAATGCGTGTCCAAGAAGAAGATTTTTCTTTGTTATTGGTGTGGGAGTTTGAAGCCATGAGTTGGCTGAATCAAGGTGTGCTTGCTTATTGTAGAAATAATAATATTAATGGAAGGTTGTGTTTGCATGCAATTTAGAATTAGAGGGTAAAAAGAGGAGCTGAAAACAGAAAAAGGAATAAGGGAAAATGGGGTTCTATTTTCATGAATAAATGGTTGCTAGAGGGAATGGTATATGCAAGAGATTTAGGAGAGTGATTTGTTTATAAAAGGTGAAAGGGTGGTCATGGTGGATCATGCCTAGATGTGACCCTTAAATGTATAGTGGGACAAGATGCAGCCAGAGTCTTGTGATACACTTACACTTTAAAGACATTATTTCAGAAATAAACCTCCTCAAGCACATAATTTCCCTTCCAAGAGATTATAAATGTGCGTTTTTGTAGTAAAGGCAACTTGTTTATTTGTGAAACATAGCTCGATCTTATAGTATTTATTTAATAAATTTATATTACATTAAATTTTATATTTAAATTTAACTATGTGATTTATTAAAATAAATTTAAAAAATTAATTTATTTTATAAACTCAAATACAATTCTTTAATTTTTTTAATTGCCTCCTAACTTGGTAATAAAAATAATTAAGAATACAAATTTTGATGGTTGCACAATTATAAACTTGAATCGTTCTATAGAGCTATAAGCATTTTCCCTCATTGACTATTTAAAGAAAATAACAGCATAATTTATCGATTTTTTTTCCTGCTTATACAGATGTAGGGTAAAGGATATAAATCACATGCTTTCGATTTTCTTTTGTGGCCTTTTTTGAAAGCTTTTATGTTTTAATTATAACTAATAGTCTATTTTACTTAATTATAGGTTCAAGCAATATAATCTTCTTGCCACAATAATCTTACAGCAAGTGCACGATTACTTGACTGTTGAACATTGAAGAGGCTCATTAAAATAAAGTTAATTTCAACAGCAGGAATCCGATAATACACGCACGATACTGAAAAATGAGTGGGGCCAGATTAGGTGAAGGATAATGATATTTATAATTTTTTTTAATAACGGATTTTATAATTTAGGAGAAAAAAATATAAAAGGAAAAAAATAAAATTGTTGGATAAGATGAATAATATGACAGATAGATACTAAAATATATATGAAAAATAGTGTTAATTATAATTTTTGTGTTTTACAAATACATAAATAGCCGCCATGAAGAGGGTTCCAACCTAACAATTGACGGTGGTCTGCGGGGGCATGAATCACAACAGAGTGTTTCACGATCAGTGTTGTGGAACGTTGTCTTAACGTATAAATCAACATTTCCAATTCCATGTTCAATGCAGTGTTTAGTGAGATGAGGAGTGAAAACAGAGAATATAGGATTGTATTTAGCTGCCATAGGTTATATTCAATGCATGTATAACTTGCATAACAAATTTAAATTCTCATTTTTCAAAATTAAGAAACATTTGTACCCATTTTTATATATGTCATTGTTTTTTATTTTTTGCGTGACATGTTTTAATTTTTATATTAAATTTAAATTATTATTTGTTCATTTAAAAAATTATTTCATTTAATTTTTTAATTTTATTAATAATTGGCCTTTTAGACTATTTAAATAAAATAAAATTATTAAAAACACATTTATTAATATATTATACATAATATTATATAAATTATTAGATATCCAGGGTTTAATATCTTAATTTTTTTCCAAATAATCTAATTTAAAATTTTATTTTAATATCTTATTACCAATGATATAATTTTTGTCAACTAAATTACTTTTAATTTATATTTATAATTTTATCTTTATCTTAAAAATATTTTTGTAATTTAAATATCTGATAATTTATATATATATATATATATATATATATAATCGGATACACATTAAAAATAAATATAAATACGAAAATATATCCCTCAACTTTATTTGAAAATATCTCGTGTAGAAATTCATTATGCTATTTTATGGTGAAACGTTTTTCTCTCAAAACCACACGACTTTGGTATGTGACTTGGCGTGCTTGAGGTTCCTCCATTAAACTCAGTAATTGTTTCGTTTAAAGTTGAATAAAATTAAAATAAATGTACAAATTAATTTAAAATATATATTTTTATTGAAGTATGTGTTGTATAAAATGATATAAGAATTAATTTCTTACCTGAAAAATAAATAAGTCCTTAAAATTATTTAGACTCAAATAAAATTAATTTTAGTATAATTAATGTTAAATTATTAAACTTAATGTATATTTAAAATAATTTTTATTATAAATTTATATTGAAATATGTATTTTTTTTTAAAATGCGAGAAATAGTTTTTTACTATCAAAACAAATATGGACAACAACTTAGAGATTTTTTATATATAAAATTTAAAAATATTATATATCAAAATATAAAATTTTAAAGAAAATTATGAAAATATAAGAAAAATTTTCGTTAATAAAATTAGTTAATTTTAAAAATCATCATTAAATATTTTTAAATTCTTAATTTTATTTAAATAGTCATTTTAAATTTTTATATTTTAATATATATTATTTTAAAATATCATATTGATAAAAATGCCTCAACTTAAAACGTATTTGGTTTTCGATAAACTAGAACCTGACGTGTATCTGATCCCATATAATTGGTTTTTTTTTTCTCTGCTTTTTCCTTGCAGTGTGTACAGTGACTGCAACGCTTACTCCTTCGTAGCTACATGGATCCGGGTTGGGGTGATGGGTCGGATTTTTAGAGCCCTTAAATATTATATACGAGTTCAGTTTAAATTTTTTTTATAAATATTTATAAGAATAAAAATTATATAATAAAATAGATTGATTTTTTTATATATATTAAAATTAAAATTAACTATATTTTTTAAAATTCTTTCATTTGATTTTTAAAAAAAATTTAAAATATAAATTATTTTAAAGAAGTTTGGTCGAATTTGGTGACTGTGAATAAAAACAATGGATGTCCTTCACTATTCTGCTACGGCCCAGAGGAGCAGAAAGAGGTCATATCTATTTCAACATCATTGACACACAACACAATGGGACAAAAGAAACAACAGTAATTTTATTTATGGGTTAATTCACCTAGCGTGGCATACAAAGTTAACAACTACCAAAATACCAAAATATCTTAATATCTTAATTCATTTAAGCCAAAGTCCATTAGCTACTAATACCTTAACGACGGAATTTATATCATACAACAATTATACAACTCTTCTAAACACACACAATAACAGAATTGTTCTGCTAATGAAAAAAAAATATGATTTTTTTACGGCCCTTAATCTTCAATCTCAGAGGATCCTTACTAGTTGCCATTACTGTTAATTGATGTCTACATGACGTTTTCTTTTGCAGAATGATGTGGTGATACTGATCACCTACGTACTTGAGTTGGCTGTGATTGAGGAAATGGGAAGAGGGAAAGGAAGGGAAAGGACCAACTGGGTAATAATGCAATGCAGGTTAATTACTTTATGACTTTAGAGATTTTCATATCTTTGAAATTAATTCTTAAGATCTTGTTTTGAACCACATAATTAGAAATGCTTCTAGCTGCCTACCTGTTTATATGCCTCTGTCTCTTTCCCTTTCTCTGCTCACTTTGTTTGCAGCTCATTGCAGTCTGTCCACTAATTGATGGGCGAACTGAACTATTAAATATTTATAAAAATTAATCTAAACTATATATTTTAGTATTAAAAGTACAAAAACATTCTCTATGTATATTTTAATATAAATTTATAATTAAGATTAATTTAATAAATACTTATTTTAATTATATTTAACCAATTCTGTTTCAATTTCCTATTATAGAAATATGTCCTTTAGTAAGCTTAATTTGACTTGATCTGGTTCCTGTGTAACTTATAGTTTTTTATTTTTTATATGATGCTTCCTTTTAATACATTAGGTTTTTAAATGTCATGCCTTAAATTCTTTTTAATTCACCATATTTTTCGTATCTATGTTATATATGATCCATGTCATATTCTTGCTTTCGGTATTCTTAATTCATATTTTCAGGGAGAAAATGTCTTATGGTGTTGGCACTTTTCTGGGAATAAGTAAAGATTGGTTGTCATTTTATTTGTACATTTGATATGAAAGCTACCAAACAGGGAAGAATGGATATGATGCTGACAAAGAGAGGCAACGTGACCAAGTCTAGACATGCCCTATTTAATTGTTTTGCGGAATAAGCACTTTCATATTAACTAACATATTAATGCTTCTGCATTGTTGGCAAACTGTTCAGAAACGTATCCCAGATTGCGTGTCAAATGCAAATGCCGTGAAACTAAGGTAGCCATATTTCGTTTGCTTCAGTGTTCTCACCGCCCTTCATGACATTTAATGGAAACTTGTAAAAAGACTTGAGCCAAATGTACCAGGATATTGGGTCAGGCTAGAAATTAAGAGTGAAGAGACTGCTCCAATATCCCAACGTTAGCTAAATGTGGGGTTAGTTACAAAACCATGCCAGTATTCTTAATGATAAGAAAAGGAAGTTAGTGGTTATGCAAATGTATAGCCATTAGGAAGTATTATATATATGGACTTCTCATTCATTTTCCCTTTCAGAAAAAGTTTATCGTAGCCCAGTGGTCCTTCCTCATATGTTGGAGTGGCATCATAAAAGTTAAGATGTTGGATAACAATTGTGGGCGTGCAAGGAATTCCAACACACTATGTTGTGCAATTAGGGCCCATGTCCTTGCTGCCTCTGGTTTTCCAAGTGCCCCAGAAATCGACCACACATGGAATTTTTTTGCAATAGCTTCAATATCCAAATACAAGTTGGACATCGATGCTTTAACGTTTTAAGAGAGATAACAAATTATAGGCCTAAAACTAAGCACTAAAAATTTCCATGTGATTTATAAAGTATCTATCTGTGGCTTGAATTAGCCTTGAAGCAATTTCATAGATAAGATGGGTCACTGTGTCACATATATGATAGTGTGTACGTTCATCCCACTTAAAATTCGATCTGTTATATTTGGCACTTTGGATACTAACGATTCATATGACTTGGACTAATACGCTTAGCATTTGAACATGCTGCAGGGACCTTTTGAACGTTTGTTTGTATTACAAGCTTTTCTTAAATGGTGGATTCCAAAATTCAATGAAATATTAATAAGAGGATATATGATAAATTACAATAATGAAGTTCACTTTATATCTTAGCCAATAGCCACATATCATGAGTTACAGGTATTCTCACTTGTATGATCATTATTTAACTCATTTGCCACCAAGACTACATGTCTACGTGTCTCGCACACTTGGTCTTCCAACACATAAAAACAAAAAACAATTCTTCAATATGTATGCACAAAACCGGCATCAGAGTAGGACCACCACATAGAACTTTCGAGCGTTCCACAATTTGCTGAAATCTGAATGGCACAATGGAAGCAAAAGTAGTCAAGGAAAGTGTAAAAGAACTCAACGTGCTTGCATGTGAGTGCTACTAGGTTGTGTGAATTATTAGAATTCCTTTCGGACACTTTTCATACACATTTTCTACATTTTTAGCTTGCTATTTTGCATGAATAGTTCTAATTCGAATTTTTACTAAATTTCAAAACTACCCAATGAAAAAGTTTTTGATTAAAGTAAATGTACTTCTCAGTATCCCTAATTAGAGACTTGATGGGCAGATTTTTATCACTGACGTGGCTAGAAGCTCTTTGACTTGATCAAGAAGTCCCCAGGACCAAAAAAAATAAAAATTAAGTCCTTAGACCATCTCACATGCTCTCTTTTGTTATTCTCGTGTGTTTCCTGTTACTTTATTTAATTAAATTTTGTTTAAAATATTTTTATTATTAATTTGGTTATAATAAAAAATAATATAAATAAAAAAACACTTAAATAAAATTGACAATAAATGCTTAGAGATAGTAATGGATATGTCAAAAATATTAACAATGTATTTTTTTACACTTTTTTCAACTTTTTTTATGAATGCATGAAGCTTTATGTTGGTCATATAATATCAGAAAGGCCAATGTAAAATTTCATTTTATAACTAAATTATATTTAAAATAGCACAGAAAATGTATCACATTTCTCTTGCGTGGATTGTTTGAAATGGGTCTTTTGGGCCTCATATTAATCTCCTGTGTAACCATCATATGCTAAATTGGGCTTAAAACTAACAAGGCAAATAAGAGAAACTAATGATCGACCAAAAACCATTGAGACAGCTAATGACAATACCATCTCCCAGAGTTTTCACACACCACTACAAAAAATCCCATGTGTAACTTTATCAAACCAAGAGAAATTTCTCCTTTTCTCCTTTATCTCTTTTTAAGGAACGTTGTCTCACATTTCGCAATTTAATATTCTACGTTACTACTTTTGCTTTTAGAACATGGTAAACAAACATTAAACATATACACTGTAATACTCCATAATAAATTCAACTTAAGAGGATCAAATATCTATCTATCGAACAATATAATTGTACAATAATATCCATTTCCAGTCATCAAATTGCCAGAACAAAAAGAAAAGAGAATCACAACAATCAAATTAAATAACATAAAATCAATAAAAATACGGGTCTTCATCACACACTCCTTCCCAATTGAACTGCCAACAGTGCCATCAATTAGGGGGGCAAAATGTGATCACATACCGAGGTGCTTTGCAAGTCTTAAGCCCAGCTGAATCATCATAAGCATAGCTATAAGCCTGAGGGCAAATGGTCTTAAAAAGACGAGCAAAAGCACTTGGCTTACAACTTTTTGGGCTTGAAAACTCCCCAGTGCAACAATATCTATCTGATTTTGCAGCCAAACAAGCACTCTTGCACCCCACAACCTTCCCTTGACTCTTCACAACAAGTGCAGAAGGACAACAAACATTCAAGTTAGCCTCACAAGCTGCAACACCACAACCAACTCCACCTCCTACAGGCTTCATGGACAACGGAATGTTAAACCCATCAACCAAACTAACATCATAGAAATGCAAAGATGATTGAGAGGTTCCAAGTGTCATTTCCACAAGGGTAGCTGGAGGAACTCCACCAATGCCCCCACACTTCAAAAGACCACCACAATCACCTGTTTCACATGACCCTTTACCAGTTTTGGGATCAAAGCAACACCCTAGTCTACCCCAGATTCTCCCTGACCATCCCTCAGGGACTTCTAGCACCACCTCTTCTCCACTGCAAAGGTGAAATCCACCATCTTTTGGAGTTGGGTGCCCTGCACTTCCAAGAATTCCCGGCCACACACTCTCTTTGCAGTTGTTCACCAATATGAGTTGAGTCCCATCTTCAACAATAAACCACAACGCAATGTCACAAGTTAACACTTAACTACTGTAAATAATAATAATAATAATAATAATAAGATTAAGTGTGTGTTATAAACAGAAATTGATAGCATTAGACATGCATGCAGAATCAAAATATCCCAATTTTTAACTCCTATCAATTATTTTTTTAAACGACTAAAAATAATATATATTTTTTTCTCTAGCTTCCCTTAAAATAATTTTTTCTATACTCAATTTAAATTCGATTAAAAAAATCAAATATATACATTTGAATTAACTCTAGTTGATTATTAAAAAAATTTAATTAATTTTTATATTTTTAATATAATAAAAGATCTATTTTTTAATAAATTTTTGTTATTTTTTATATTTAAAATCAGTTCTAAAACCAATCTTTAGAACATATCAAACATGGAATAAAAATTGTACGTTATATATTAGAGGTCATTGGCTTTTGTGGTGAGGGAGTGAAATTGAAAGAGTACCTGTGAGGGAGATGGAGATGAGAATGCAGAGTAAAATGAAGGGGTGGATTGAGGTAGACATTGGAGTTTGAAATGCTGAACCGCTTCTTAATGTTCTTCTTCACTATTTGTGGGAGAGCCTCATGCAAAGAAAGTGTAGTGGGAGAGAGTATGTGAAGAGCAGTTTCCTTTATTTTAGCCATTTCAACTTTGCAGAACGGTGTTGTTTTTAAAAACGGTTTGCTAAAGCAAAGACTATGGCTCTTTGAACGGTTCCCTCCTATTCCTCCTACGCTCAGCCTTTAGTGCTTCTTTTCATTCCTTTATTCTATGTTCCTAACTTTAATTTAATTTCACTATGCATATTGTTAAATGGTATCAACCTCTTTCCTTAAAGGACTTACGACAAGGGGGAAAAAATAATTACCACGTTTTTTATGAATAGAATTAAAGAGCATTTGTAAAATCAAAAGTGAATTCAGAGTTTGCTTTTGTGTATGATATGTGGAGTTTCAAATGTCAAACTAAATGAGAAAAATACTCACTTGTTTGCTGGTTTGATAATTAGGCATACACATCTATTTTTTTTATAAAAGAAATAAATTAAAATGTATATATCTAGAGACAGTTAAAATTAAAATAAGAAATGAAGAAGATTTGATACATTCAAATTATATATAATTCGTTACCTTCTACTACTAATAAACATAATAAATAATAAAAATAAAAAATATTTTCTCAAATTAAACACTCTAAGATTGATAAATAATAAAAGACATGCATCATAAGGAAAATATAACCCAAAACAGTTATTGAGATCCCTAACAAATGATATGTAACTAAGAGCAACTGTTATCAGTAGCATTTTAAGTTGTTTTTAAATTCGGCTATTGTAATTTCACAGTTAACAAATGAGTGTGAAGTGGATTGGGAGAAGAGAAAGAAAAAAAGAAAAAAAGATGTTATAAAAAAAAGTATAAAAAAGGAGAAAATAAAAATAAGTGTAAAAATCATAATTAAATTATAAACACCCATTCCTTGTTCAGTATAACCAGCAACAGTCTTACACGAGTCTCCAAGTAAATTAGGTTTAATTATTAATATAAATCATGGTACTTTAAACTTTTTTTTTTTATTCAGAATCAATTCTACAAAATCATTTTAATCAATTTGCCCAAAATCAATATACTCTCAAAATACTCTTTTCTATTTTTTTACTCGTTGTTGCATTAAAATGTAATAAATATTTTTTTGATAAAATAATTTTACTTAATATTAGTTAAAATTAAAATTAAAAACTTTGACAAAACAATAAAAGATAGCACGTAAATGTTGAAGTGCGGCCCCCACAATCAAATGGATATGTAGTTTATTTGTCATAAAATATAATTTTGATTTGAAACTACATATAATTGTGGATAATAATTTAAAAAAAAAAATAATGCAATTATGTCTTTATAGATTTGAATTTAAACTCGTTAATTAAGTTAGAATAATTTCTAGAATTTATGTACATGCGCGCGGTGATAAAAACTGTAAAATAATTAAAATTTGTAAAATTAATGAGTAAAAAATTAGAAATGCTTAAATTTCAGTAACATGGCATAAATTAAAAAAATATATATATCATCTGTATGAGGAGAAATTGTAAATTATTGGAGTGAGCCATGGAGAGGGCTGGCCCACAACCAGAAACTGTAGCCACAGCCCACGCTCGTAACTAAAGAACGTACAGTGAATATAATGTGCCCATTGGGCCCCCAAACTATAACCCAAAGTAAGGATACTTGTTATCAATGAATGTTATGTAATTATTCTAATTACAGACAAATAGCAGAATGCTACAACTCAAACTCAGAAGAAGAAAGAGTTCATGTGGCAAAGTATCCATCATGCTCCCAACCACAAATATAAAACTTTCTTTACTTTTAGATGGAATTTACATTCAAAACCTTGGGATGAATTTTATGCCAAATTCAAACACCCAGGACTTCTACCTCCCCTCCAAATACATCACCACCTGCCTCATACTGGGCCGTTCCATGGGCTCATCATTAGAACACATTAGGCCCAATCTCAGCACCGTCAAGGCCTGCTCTCGATCAAACGCCTCACCCAAATTGGGGTCCATCACTTCCAAAAGAGCCTCCTCCCCCATCTCCCATCGTTCCCTCACCCAATCCACCAATATAAGCTCCTCCGGCAACGCCTTGGGCTCAATGGGCCTTCTCCCACACACCACTTCCAACAACAATGCCCCAAACGCAAATACATCAGAACTCGTCGTGGGCTTCCCCGTCCGTGTTAACTCCGGCGCCAAGTACCCCAACGTGCCCACCACGCGAGTCGTGCGCACGTGCTCACCGTGCTCATACAACTTCGCCAAACCAAAATCGCCCAACCTTCCATTCATTTCGGAATCCAGCAGCACATTCCCTGCTTTTATGTCTCTGTGAATCACCGCTTGTTCCCACTCCTCGTGTAAATACACAAGACCCCGAGCTACTCCCTTTATGATCTTGAACCTCTGTTCCCACCTTAAAATCTCTTTGGGTTTCTCGAATAAGCACTTGTCCAGGCTTCCATTGGGCATGAAATCATACACAAGTAAGAGATTCCAATGCTTCCGACACCAACCTAGTAATTGTACTAGGTTCCTATGTCGGAGCCGACCAATGGTTTCTATCTCCGACATGAATTGTTGTAACCCTTCTTTTGAGTCTTGTGAAATTCTCTTCACTGCCACTTGGGTGTTGGAGTTTCGGAGAACCCCTTTGTAAACTCGACCAAAACCCCCAAACCCAATTAACTGCTTCTCGTTGAAGCCCTTTGTTGCTTGCTTCAGCTCCTCGTATGAGAACCTGTGGGGACCCACTTCAAGTTCCCAAGGTTCAATAGCATCGTCGTTCTCTATCTTTCTGACTACATAGATCGTTAACCCAATTGAAGCTGTTATTGCTAAAATAGCAAAAGAAACCGTAATTCCCGCGATCGTGGCTTTTTTGTGGTGGTTAGAAGTAAGAAGTGATGGTAAACTATTCAAATTCAAAGATTTGACTTCTCCATTGATCTTAAAGCTCCAACCCAAGATATAGTGTGAGCTCGCTAGCGTCCCCGTTGAAGCTGAAAACCCAACATAAATGTCATCTTTGAGAATTGGTGAGAGATCAACTTTGCAAGACAAGATTGGGGAACGAGGTTTCGAGGAGGTTGAGGAAAGTCTAACATCCAATTGTTTGGTGGAGGAATCATAGTCCACCCATGCTTGAATCACCGAACCACACTTCAAATAGAGGTCCTGTTTGGATGACCCATCTGTGAATTGAGCAGCGGGAACAGACTTTTTGGACACCATGCTGTTCAAGTTGATGCCCACGTGGTTGCCATTGATATCATAAAATTCATAGTCTTGGACAGTGTCGAACTCAACAGCAAAAAGGTGGTTTGAGAAGTTCCCAACATCGTGTGGGTTGAGAAGGCCAAGGTACTGACTGGGATAAGCACCAGGAAGCACTTTTGAGGGGGATATGGCGAAGGCGAAGCCATGCCCACCTTGTTTTGGGTCGCTGCTTGTTATTGCAAAAGCGAAAGCGGTGGAAAAGGAGAAAACTTTGGCGTTGGTGGAGTTCTTTAAGCGAATTGGGGTTGAGTAAAACGCGTGGCCAAGCATGTGAGTGTCGTTTGTGAGGCGAAGTATTCCACAGTTTTCGATTACTGCACCTCCGTCTATGCTTATGTTGTTGCCTGAAATGGCATCTTTGAACCCTTCAAAGAAGAGTTCTTGCTGTTGAGAGTTTATGAGGATTGAGGCCAGAAGGAGAATGCAGAGTGTGAGTATTTTTGCCATAATGGAGTTGAACATGAAGTAAGAAGCAGAAAAGGAAAGAGTTAAGAACTGTGTGCGATCATGATTGAAGAGGTTAGAATGTATGTTACTGGAGAAGGAAACGAAGTATTTTTAGAAGAAATTAAAGATTAAATCACTTAAAAAATCAATTAAGTCGTTATATTATTTTAAATATAAATTTTATTTTAAAAATATTCATAATGTTAAATGATACAGTGAGTAATTTATATATTTAATAATATTAATAAAAGAAAAATATAATTTTTTTTAATAATTAATATATCTTAAATTTATTATTTATTTTTTATAATAAAGATTAAAAAAATATTTCATCTTATTTCTTTAAAAATTAACAGATATGAGAACAGTAACACTCTCGATGTCATGCTACCTAAAACAGGGAAACGTGGTTCTTTGCTTTCACGTGTGCATATGCCCTGCGTTAGGTTGATGGCACTTAATGATACTATGTTTGGATTCATTGTACGTTCCTGATTTTGGAAAAAAAAAAAAAAAAACTCTGGTTGTATTTTATCAAAAATTAAGTATATTTATAAAATTGTACTAATTCAAATATACAATAATCAAGCCTTTTTTATTGTTAAGAAAAGGAGGGAAAATAATTCGTACTTTCGTTGAAAAATAAGTTAGGCAAAAAAATTAATTGTAAGTTAAGGTACAGTGTCTTACATACTATAAGTGGGGAGAGCTACTAAAAGAAAATGATTATTATCTGATTAATGTCATAGAATAAAGATGATCATAAACGTCGACTCTTATAAACTATGTAACAATATTATAAATCTCACTTTGAATAGAATAAAATGATTAGTATAACAACCTTATTTTTAAGCTCACAAGGTCAAAACTTACACTTCAACTTGTGGCATTCTTAACTCTAGCATTTAAACTACACTACTAGAATGAGAAATATAATTATGACTTTTTTGTGCCTACAGACACTGTAATATCTGATATTATTAGAAAAAAAAAATAGTCTTAATTAGCAAGATATTCTAAATTTTATAAGTACATAATATTAAAAATACTTAAAATAGTGTGTACTTAACTTGGTAAGAGAAAAAAAAACACCGAAAAATGCTTGGATTAGATTAAATTTTAAGGGAAAGAAATGTAAATTTAAAGTCTCTTAGGATCACATATCCTAAGATTATGAAGTTATCTTATAGCATATGCTAAGAGAAGGAAATGTAGTTGTTAATGGTTTAGTAAAAGGGAGGAGCAAATAGAGATCAATTATACATTTGAAAGAATTGTCGTGCTTGGTTGAATATTCAATGTTCGCAAATGTTATAGGTACAAATTACTCATAACTAATTCTCTTATTACTATGTATTTATTATCTGTAAAATAAAATAAGATCAAACAATCATTTGAAATCGTAGTTACGTTTTTTTTCCCATAATTAACTTAATAAAAACTAGTTATTTTTATATTATAAATTTTAGTTCTTCCTTTTGAATCTGAAAACATCTATTTTAATTTTTTTTTAAATTATAATTGATTTGTTTGGTATTTTTATTAATTTAACATTTACAGTTTAAAGTTATTGTTGAACATTTTTAAAAGTATACCAATCCCAGTGTGTTCTTAGTTTCCCGCTGAAATTTTAATGTGTAATCCAAGTTCTTTATTAAAAAAATTAAACTTGATTTAATTATTACAATATCGATTTGGGTCTAATCAGTGACATCCACTAATTGTCGATAAGGCCAAGGTATTGACGAATATAAGCTACTTGCTAACTGGTGCACATATATGGCATATGCATGATGTAAAAAAGTTATCGAGAGAATAATATATTAAGTTTTTATAATTTTTAATCAATAATTATTCTATATTAATTTTTTAAAACTAATATGGTTAATTAAATTACTATTTAAGAATATCCTTGCTTAAAAGATATTAGTGATTGGTAGTAGCTCCGACTCATATTTTCAATTTTGTTATTATGATATTAAACTATAATTTTTCAAGAGTTATATCTATTTTTATAGTAAAAATTTATTCTTTTCCACCCCATCACCTCCTGATTAATCACTCTATTCTCTCTCTCATTATATATATAAACAAATTTATCGAAAAAATAACATTTTCCATTCCTAAAATGTTAGCTTCTGTACTTATGTACTCTGAATTTCGAAGAAAGTTCATTTACACGTGTTTAACTTTATGACATTAATTTGAAACAAATTATTTTTAAAATATCTAAATATTAACATTATATCAGATATTATATATTTTATATTTTTACATACATATATTTTAAAAAAATATAAATAAAAATATAAAAGATATCCTCTCTTAAATATACACACAACATTTTTGAATTTAGAATACTAAATAATGAAAAGTTGGCGCAGCTTCTTTTTTTTTTTTTTTTTCAAATAAAAAGTATAGCTATCAACCGGGTTGAAAGAGTAGAAGACATTTTTTTGGCACTCAAGTAAAATACAAAATTTAACATATTTTTATCATAATAAGTTGTTGTATTAATTCTTGATTTTATTTTTTTAATTTTAGTTCTTTAACTTACAAAAACATTTAAAATAATTATTTTTATAAAAAAATATTGACTCTACTGAAAAACTAATATTGTTTTTTTTATCAACTTCAACAAAAATAGTATTTTTTTAATCAATTTTTACTTATTTTCATATGTTCTTTCTTTTATTTTCTTCTTATTATTATGTTCACCTCTACACAATTTGTTTTCTTTTCCCTTTGAACTTTAATAAAAAAATTATTTTTCCTTTTAGCTCTTTTACATGTTTCTGCTATCCATTTCTTTTGTCCTTTTAAATTCTGACAAAAATCTTCTTTTTTTTTTCTTTTCCTTCTCTTTTTCTCAAAATTTCTTGATTAAAAATTATACTAAAATATATTAAAAATTATAAAAAGTTAATATATTATTTTTTTAATTTAAATTAATGTTGTTAACGGGATAAAAGGATTAAATTGATTGTTTTCTATGCTAATTTAATACACAAAGAGAACATATTTAATTTCTCACTTATTTGAGAAGTTATTTTCATGTATTAACTAAATTATAACTTGTGAAAGTATACTTGCTTCTCATTCTTATAAGCGTACGTTTGATTTTATGTTCTTCAAGAGTGGAGGTGTGTTAGTTTTTCAATACTATAAATAGCTTATAATTCTAAGATGCACTTGTACGTTATATTCTACGCAAATCTAAATATGTGCTAAGATGTTTTTATACTTAGTTTTTTAACACTGTTATTGGAAACCAAACTAAAGAATAAGAGCAAGCCGAGAAAGAGGAAGACACGACAACTCAAAAGAGAAATAAAATATATTTAAAAGTATAAGAAGAGATGTCTAATCAAGGAAAAGTTGATTCAGATAAATAAACAAAACACTTAGCGAATCAAGACAGAATGATTAGTTTTCATTCATTGTAACTCCTTTTCTCCCATATTGAAAATTGGTTCAAGAACACCTGTTAGTAGCAGTGTGTTTTACAAGTTTGTTGCCAATATGTATGCTAAAAAATAACCAAGAAAATATAATTCACATTTTCATTCTCCTCTTTATTTCTTCCACTAATAAGATTAGCATATCTTGAATTTTAAGAAAAACTGAGAATACGGCAATTCATGCATGTGAAGAAACTGCTTTGCTAAGAAATTAAATCGAAATTTGTGAGGATTCCATATTGATCGATATCTTCAGTGTGATGTATGCAAGCCTAAATGACCAGGTACGATAATATATAACAACATGTCAAACAAAGAAAATAAAGAGAGAAACAAATTAATGCACAAGTAGGAATAGAAAGGCGCCAACATTTAACATTGCACAACATACTCAATAATGTAACTCAAAATTATAAAGGATAACAATCCAATATGAACAAGATACATTTTTCGATTATCTCAAGTCTCAGCTTCTCCTCAGGTTGAGAATGCTTAGGTTCTTAAGATGTGTATAAGCAGGTTCCATCGTCACTTCTAGCAGTTGGGTCAAAGTTGGAAGCATTTCGATCAGTGCACCCTTCAGGAACGGGAATATTTACTTGCTGAGCTGCTTTGCCTGCAAAGAAAATGAAACAACCAAAAGGTTTATTCTAAGTTTTATTCGGTCTCTATTATCACTCTCATATGTCTATTATTATTAATAATTTAATTAATCAATAAAAAATAAAAATTTTACAGAAAAAATATTTAAAAAGAAGTGGTAATAATCATTTTGGAATGATAATAAACCCATTCAGTTTTATTTGATTGAATTATACATTCCAACGAGTTTCATTCTGATTTAGTGTAACCGTTCAATTATATTCTGCCAAATAATTAAGAGAGTTTAAAGTGGACAATACATTATTAGATATTTTAAAACATTTTTTACTAGATCAAAATTAAATGTGCAAGTGTGTGTAAGTTTGACTAAAAAATTAGCTATATGCAAACACATCCAATATCAAGGCCTCAAGATAAAAGATCTCTAACCATAGAAAGTTCCTCTGTTAATGGCATCTTCGTTAGCATCACCAAGAGCAGCCTCGCTCAAGTACTTGTCTGCCAATTGGACCCTCTTCACATTCTCTTGCTCTTGCACAAGCATGTTACCATACCCCAAGAGCTTATCCAAACTCATCCAGGGTTGGTCAAAGGTTGGAGGTCCTTCCTTTGAGTTCACAAGCTTCTTCCCAACCATTGCAACACCAACACCAGAAATCCACTTCCTCACTTCATCATCATATACTCTAGCCCGGAGTGCACCAAAGAAATCTGCAACGATAAATGCCATACCATTAGTCCTATTCTGTTTCTATTTCATTACAATTTCCAATTATATCTTAGAGTAAAACCTCAAATCAGTCCTTTAGTTCATGACTTTCCAAACCCTCGTCTAATCCTTCACTTTATAAAATATCATTCACATATTGTCCTTTATGTTAGAAAAAATGAGGTGAAAAAAGAAAAAAACTAAATGTATGACATTTTGTAAAGTCGTGGACTTGGTCTTTTTTCAAAAAACTTATGAAAATCATTTTTATAAATTCTTTCTAGCTTATTATAAAAAGCTATTCAATATATTTTATCAAAATAATTTTTTCAGCTTATTTTTTTAAAAAATATGATAATATATAATATAATTTTTAATTAAGAGTTTATTGAACTTAATTAAACTACCCATTCTAAAATAAGATTTTACCATATATCTAGATGTGAAACATATAGTACGCAAAAAGCAGAAAGTTTAAGAGTTTATGAGGAATTTACCAATGGATTGGCCAGGGAAGGTGTCAACAAGCTTGACAATGTCATCATCAGGTACATTGTCAGTGCGGAAAATTCCCTTGCAGACACCAATGCGGTCTTCCCTTGTAGGTGCCCAGTAGAACTTCTCCATACGTCCATCACGGATAAGAGGAGCATATAGTGTTGAGAAATCATTACCAGTGACAATGATGGGCACACGAGGGTTCTCTTCCTTGTTGTACATACCAGGGAGCTGAACATTTGTGGGGTTATCAGCAATATTCATGAGGGTGGCATTCACCATTTGGTTGTTGACAGTGTATTGGGTGGTTCCACCAAGACGACCAGCACCAGCATCAAGATCATTGATGAAGAGACAACACATCTTTCCCTTCTTAATTATATCAGCAGCTTCACGGTACCTTTGCCTGATCAATTTTGCTGGCTCTCCAGCATTTCCACTTTCAAGCTCTCCAGCACTCATCATTATGGGGCTGTACTTACAACATCACAATGACTACAAGTTAGCAGCAAATAATATTTTGATTCAGAGATGCCATTGGAATTGGAACACTCGTCAACAACTAATGAGTGCTAGGCACTCAGTACGGCATTTACTCACCTGATTCCCATCTTGGCAAAGACAAGCTCACATTGGAAAGATTTTCCTTGACCTTTGCCTCCCCAAATACCAAGAATGAGAGGAACCTATAAAAATAACGAAAAAAATTGAATATATGTCCCAAATTTTTTATTAAATTATTCAGGCAGTATCTGCATGAATATCATAAATTTAATAAAATGCCTTGATGTTTGGCAGGGTCATGAAGTTCTTGGTGATGTGAACAACAAGCTTGTCCATAAAAGCAGGAGCAATGTAAAGACCGTCCATGTTGTTGTCCAAGTTGTACCTAAAATAACATCATCATGGCCAGCTTTAGATCAAAATGAAATTGACTTCACTTTTCAATTCATGACAACAAAAGTGATAAACAAACACTATTTGGCTTAGAATTCCCAGTATTTGTGTCACTCACTGTTTAAGTCCAGCGCTAAGGTACTCATAAGAGTTCATGATTGCATAGTGAGTTCCACTATCCATTGAAGCTTGGAAAAGTGAATCAACCATACCCTTTCCCCTTGTGATGTCTTGTTGATCATCTGAAACATCATAGGCAAGACCCTTCCACCTGTCCTGATCAGTTTGCTGGGTCTCTTCAATCTCTTTCTCTGCAGCAACAATTTTGAAACTTCCAGAGGAAATCTTTGTGTTTGGGAACCTTGAGGCAATAACCTTCTTCAAGCTGCTTCCAAAGAAGGCTGAACTGGGAATTGAAGCTCCAGCTCCAGAGCTGTTCAACCTCAACTGCAATATCACAGTAGCTACTCTTTCACACTATTCAAACTAAATTTTAAAAGTTCACTCACTTCTTTTTTTATCATGACTTAAGTAGGAAATAGCACAATTCTATTCTAATTTAGTATCATACATATTGATATAACTAACTTATAATGAGTTCAGTATCAAAACAAACAAGGAGTAAAAAAATCACAGTAGTTTGTTTTTATATATATCTTATTCTTGAAACTTAATTTACTCATAGTTTTAGAAGTGCATCAAACTCATAGTGATCCTTACTAGCACGAAAAGAAAAAGTTGTTATAAGATATAATTCTTAACTAGGATAACTCATTATTTGACATGTATAGATATGTATATTTCTAACATAATTCATAACCTTACACGTATAAAATAATGATTTGAGCTTTTATAACAAAATTTCCTGAAGAATTTGTTGAGAATATAAGGTCAAGAATAATGAATTAAAGAGTAAAGAGTAGAAAAAGCATCGTACTGGGGCTCCGTTGACAGCTCCAACAGTGGAGACTGAGGCAGCCATGGTTGTGTTGTGTACTCTGAGGTGCAGAGAAGGAGAGGTAGTGCAAGCAAGCCTTTTGCGGCTAACAGAAATGATAATAGGAAGGACTTATAGTAAGTGTGCAATTGAGTGTACCGAAATTCATATCCTTTTGATTAGTTGTAGAATCCTTAATATCCACACAATGAAGATTGATTTCTGCCACGTGGCAACCATATAGCCCCTGCAAGGTTGCTACTTAGAGGCATGGATTTTGAGGTTGGTATTGAAGCCTTTTCTGCTCCATCAGTTTTAAGGAGAGTTTATTACCACAAATAGCTTGTAGCAGCATTCATCTCTTCAACTTCAAGCATTGGCTAGTGTTTCTTTGACTAGAAAACAAGAAGTGTTCACCAACAGTGTGAAGATTTCTATTCATTTTTCTAAAAAATTATACATATTTTTTGATTAAAATTAATGTGATATCATGTGTAATGCATTGATAATATTAATTATTATAATTTTTCATGTTTAATTACACTTTTAGTTCTCCTATAGGTTATAGGTAATTTTAATTTTTATAATTTTAATTGTTTATATTTAGTATTTTTAGTTTTGTAATTGTCCAAATTAAGTTTTTCATTTAAAAATTTTATTTAATAATTTATATAAATTAATAATATACCACATATCTATTATATTTTTATTCATTTTTAGATAAAATTGATGGTATATGGCTTAATTTCAACAATTAAAATTTTAAAAATATTGTATATAAATTAAAATATTTTATTGTGTACGTTAGGAAGAGGTTAGAAAACATAAAAATCTGGGCCGGCAACCAATTGAGATTTAAAGGCTACGTTAGCAGTGACCCACAAAAGCAAGAAGTGATGTTAAAAATGGGCATATGGAAAGATCAGTTTTTAAGAAATATAGTTAGAAATGGAGAATCATTGAGTGTGAATTAATAGAGGGGTTTTGCTTTGTGATTGAGATTATCAACAAAAGGGAAATGACCCCCTCCACTCACTCACCTCACCACGCACTCATGCATGGCTTCAAAAGGGGACCAATAACGATGCACACAAAATGCTTTTCCCTATCCAATTGGTAAAGTGCTACACATCGTGTCTTTATGACCTCCAAACATTCCATTCCGTGCTACAATTCAAGGAAGGTGCCTTTTACCCTCCATCATTCTCCAAACCTTCCTCAGCTACTCCTTCCAAATTTCTTCCTGTCTTCATGATACTATTTTATAATCAAGCTTTTTTATTTATTTACTTGCCTTTTTCATATATTTTAATTCATTTCAATAATTTTTTTTGAATTTTTCTTAATTTTAACAAATTTGCCTCTTTTTTAGTTCATACAATAAATATCGGTCAGACAAGACTATTATAAACAGTGAAATTTTGTCTTCAAGACTATTATGAAAAAATTTTCAGAAGTTAAAAAAATTATTTATAAAATCTGTGTAAATATCTAATGCATTATTTTTTCTAAAAAAATAATTCAGTTTTACATGTTGAACACGGCATTTGAACAAGTGAAAGAAAAAAGACAACAAAGTTGTAGCCAAAAAGAAGGGAGGAAAACACAAAACAAGTTGATTGTCTTTGGGAGCAGCGATAGATGAAGTGTTTAACTGTAAAATGACAAAAATTTATCAACAGCATAAACTTTACCTTGCCGACAATCTTACAGTAATTGATAAAATTTAGGGGTAATTATTTTTTATTTTGAATATAAGATTTTTAAATTATTATTCTATAAAAAATATATGATTAATTTTATTAATAATTTATCTATTTTAATGTGTGATTAAGGCACACAATAAAGAAGTAAGAAATTTAAAAAAATAAAAAAATTACACCATTTAATGTTATCAATATATTTTACTATGTGAAATTTTGTGATTGTAAATAAAAATTTATTATACTTAAATATTTATTATGCATCATTAAAACGTATTAAAAAAATTTAATAATTTTTTTAGAAAAATAGCATTATAATTATTGAAACTCATTATGTTTTTATCTAATCAATTATTTTATCTTTGTTTAGGACATTGTTGAAAGAAAATAATTAATGTAAAAAGTAATTTATAAGGAATCTTATGAAAAGGATCATAACAAATTTTTTAAGAGATATTAATTTTAATTTATTTTTTTAATAATTTACATAAATATTAAATATAATTTTTTATTAATATAAGATTTTAATTTAAAAATACATCTAAGTTTATTCTTGCCTTAAATATATTTTTAATCTCTACATTTTGGTAATTTTTTTATTTTAGTTCCTCCAAATAAAATGTTTAAGTTTTAGTTTATATATTTTAGCACATTATTAATTTTAGTCTCTCTTACTAATATGATTCAATCAAAAACTAACATTTGATAATTTTTTTAAAAATTAAATAAACAGAAGGGGCTATAAATATATATATATATATATATATATATATATATAAAGCTAAAACAAAAAAAAATATTTTAAAAAAACTAGAATGTGAAAATAAAAAAACATATTTAAGCATTTATTCTTTTATGAACAGCCATGTTTAATTACAGTGTAGCAATTAATAGGCTTTGTGATTATACCCCAAAATCACGGTCACGAAAATTAAGGAACACAGAAACATGCATATGGCACTCATGTTTTCTTGAAACCATTTTTTTTTTTAATTCTTAAATTAAATGATTATTTAGTCAATTTTATTTAAAAATTTAATTTTTTATTGTTTGCTCCAAATCTTTATAAATTAAATATATTAAATTATTTTTTGCTAAAAAAATTACTAACTAAATATCAAATTGCACTTAGAATAAAAAGATCGAACTTTTCTGTCTTCAAATTCAAACTTCATGTCTCATATATAAATTCACATATAATAAAAATTGTTAAGAGACACTAAAATGAAATTTATTAAAAACTAATAGTTTAGGAATTATTTCTACAGAGTGTATTTCATTGTAAAAGAATCAATCTAAGTACTTACACTTGAAAGGTTATCGATCCAAACCCAAACTCTAACCCTTAATTTCGTTTTGTATAATGAAAAAAAAAAAGTAAGAAAAAATTTGAAATTTAAATTGAAGAAAAAAGAAAAAGTGTATTTCGTTTTGCATTATTATCAGTATTTTATTTCCTTTGCATTCCTTTCTCTTCATTCCAAACAAAGCATAAACGAAAATCCATCTCAAATGGCAATGCTGCTTCACTTCAGGGATATGTTTGGCAAAGTATAGAGTGACTCCAAGTGAAAAATACTTAAAAGCTCAAGTTAAGTAATGTTTTAACAAAATAACAGCAAAGGAAAGAAAAGTTTACCTATTTTGGGGCATTTATATTTTTTAAGTGTAGATGAGTTACAGTTGTGTGATCCAACTCAATCTAAACATCTTTTATAACTGCCTGAGGAATGCAGGATAGAATATTCTAGAAATTGAGCATGAATAGTTTCTATGGAAGGATTTTAAAGTTTGGATTAGATTGACAACACTCACTTCTAATATTCTAAACTTTAAGGTTAAAATAACAAAACTTTTACATTTCAAAGCTGATATAAAATAACATTTTTATTCATTTTATCTAATTGGTATATGATCACATTCATACCTTACCAACACTAAAACCTATATATCCAATAAAATGGTCTCAGCTCAAAACATCATTATGAATTGATATCTACAAGGCTATTAAGAGATGAACAGAATGGAACTAGCAAGCTAGAGAGCACTGCTTCAAGTGATAAAGATGATGATTGACGCATGATAGAGAAAGACAAATTCATCGTTAAACTCGAAAGCCCAAAGTTGTTCATCCACCAAGTCACAGCTCTAACTTCTCACGCACGTCCATCAATGAAAGACAAAAAAGTTCACAGCTTTGAAGTGACAGAAACCAGAAAGTCATGCCACCTGATGGAAGTGTGAATTGCCTTGTCTCCCAACTCATTCTTGCACCTTTCTTGATTTCTTCCTTGTAACATCAACTATCAACCTTCCCTTTCATTACACCAACCACCAAAAGAACTGAGAGAAATTTAAGCAAACCACAACTGTTGTTGATACGTGGGAGAAAGAGCTTGTATTATTAGTCTATTTTCTGAACGAGTCAGAAATGAACACCGAAGGAAGAACAGTGGATTACTCTAAGACATTTTATACATCTCAAACCATAGTCTAAGTGGCCAACAGCTAAACCTGAATTATGGTGCGGGATTAAAATAAGTAGACTTAAAACAAGTGGCAGATAAATGACACAATAAATTAGACGGATTAAAGGACCATTAACAATATCAAGACAAAAGGCCGCAATAAGTCATGAACTCTATGCTAGAAACTAGATTAGGTAAATCATGCATTATAACTCAAACTCATAAACCGATTGAAAGTAATTACTTTTTTTTTCCAAACCCCAACAAATGATGATCATTGGGTATTCAATAACACACACATTAGGGAAGGAACTTTATGAACAAAAGCCCTTTTGAGGCATAAAAGAGGAAAGTTTTGCCCTAACTGACAAAGACAATGTAGGCCACAAAAGAGACCCAAAAAAACATACCTTAAGATATACTAAAGTGAGAATGCCTTTTGTACACTGCAATAGGAAATGACACTCCCAGGTGATGGCTATAAAGGTTCGAATCTTAGACAAAATTATTGCAAGCCTTGTACTACTGAAATCATTAACAGAAACTAGTAAAAATTTGGGACAATGACAGGGTTCAGCTCATCATGTGGAGCATGCAAGTTCCTAAGGAGAAAATGCACGCGTGATTGTGTATTTGCTCCTTACTTTTCCTACGACGAGGCTCCAACCCATTTTGCAGCGGTGCATAAAATTTATGGTGCTAGTAACGTCTCAAAGCTATTGTCTCATCTTCCAATCCATAATAGAAGTGATGCTGCCATCACCATATCTTATGAAGCCTTGGCTCGCATGCAGGATCCTATATATGGTTGTGTTGCTCATATCTATGCATTGCAGCAACAGGTTTCCCATGCTGTGACCTTGGATATATCCTGTTATATCGCATAGTCCTGGCAAAACGGCTATCTGGCTCATTGCAGCCGGCAGACTTTAGTGAACCAAGACAAGAAAGTTCATATTCAAATTGAAATTGAAAAAATGATCCTCAAGTCTGACAAAAGCTCAATATTTTTGGGCTCTTGTAGGCTAAGCTCACATCAGACTTAATCGAATCAGGCTAAAATTTAAAGCTCAAGTCTAATTTGTCGGATAAGTTCAGGCCGACCTAGTTAGACTGAACCGTTTTGCCAGCTCTAATATCGCACCATGATTAAGATGAGTTTTGTATTTCATATGTAACTTTTAAAACTTCTTTTGTGCAGGTTGCCAGCTTGCAAGAGGAGATAGATACTCTTGGAAGTCTAATGGCAAATTCCAAGGTTAGTGTTGTCAATTGTGGCAGTGTCCAACCACCAATGAACTCAAACAACGGAATACATAGTATTTTGCAGCATGATGATACAAGGACACAATATTATCAAAATCAAATGGCTAATTTTCTTTCACAAGAAGGAAGTGCCACGGTTTACCAAAGTTTGGACAAACAGATGGATATAGAGCTTCCTAATGTACACGGATTTGAAGAATCTTCATTTGGCGATTGCAATCCCAATCCGTTAGAACAGTTCCTATCTGGAATTGACCAAGAGGTCTTCATGAATCATCCATGGTTCAAGCATAATGCAAACATAAAGAACTAGGAATTAATATTGAAGTTGTAACTAATGCGCACCATATATTGTGCAAGATGATTGCATGAAAATCAACTTTTGTTTGACGTATATTTTACAATATAATCATATAGGTAAGAGTGTCAGATTAATGCTACTTCCACAATAATTTCGATTAAAACACATCACAATTAAACGTTTAACAAATCAACGGACTGTAAAGTGTAAATCCAATCGCAAAATTTTGTTAGCTAAAATGATTGGGAGAAAAATTTTTCTACAACTAATTAAAGCAAGCAACTTTTCTTCCATATTTTTTTTCTTGTGCAGTGAGGCTTGTTGTACTAACTATTGTATTGTCGCATAACATCTATCAGAACCTAGTGAGAGTTGGTTCTCTACCTAGATCAAATGAAATTTTTGGGTTCTATCTAAAACTAAATTTTAATAGATATATTAAAAGCATAGGGTTTTCTTTATAATGATTTCTCTTTGTTTTTGTTAGTCTCCTCTGCTTCTTCTTTTTTTTTTTTTCAAAAGACGGGCCATGTAAATTTTGAAAATGAGAATGACATGGGTAGAGCTAATTCAAGGTCAGGTATATTAGATAAATATTTTATTCATTTTCAGATTGAATTAGCAAAACTTGATAGCATAAATCACATTTACAAAATTGTGTAACACACTTAGTTGAAACAAAAATGATGAAATTTGAAAGTTGTGAAACTTTCTACTTGAAAACGAAATATGTTACAAATGAGTTCTATATTAAGTCAAATATCTAAAGCACCCACGTAGGCCCTTTATTTGTCCACATCGATCATTTTGCTTTGGATACCGTTGGAACTATACATGCCACATTAAGAAGCAAATGGATGGGGCATCATGGCAAGATGCCATCCATCCATGAGGAGAACAAATCGCTGCAATCCCAAATGGAGAGTCATAATTAACATTGAAGATTGCCACTATATCATCACAATATCTTAGAGGAGCCCACTAAGAACAAACTATACTATATATGGTATATACAATCCAACACGCAATATGGTAAATATGCTCTTCCCTCGTTATCAAACCAACCTTTTGTAGGAAAAAAATTTTAGGTACGTACTTATTTTTCTTAAAAAAATTATTATTCGCTTTTATATAGTTATTTTTCGATTAAGTTGTTTTTCCACACAAAAAAAGTTACCAAATAAAAAAAAGTAACTGCAAGAAAATGAGTAGCAGATAAATATTGAAAAGCTACTCCTTTTATAAAAGCAAGCACCACATCCCAAAGGATTGTTGCAAAGATATCCATCCATGCATGAAGGTCTGACATGATAACATCTTAGGGTTCAAATGAAAAAGCCATTTCTCTGTCACTATTGTTTGGTTCTTCTCTAATCACGGCAACTTTTACATATCCGGATCAGATGAAAAGCCACGATCTTCGAGAACCTTAAGCAAGATCAATGAAATTTATTTATCTCCCTTTTCCCTCTCTGGCCGAGCGAAGGACCAATTTGTGTATTTGTATTTGATTTAAAAGTTATATTAGTAATACATTTTCTAATATACTCTCTATTTATGACATACTTTCTATGATTAATTAAAATTTATTAAAAATTACAAAAAATATATAGGTTTTATTTTTTTATTTTTAAATTAATATTTTTTATTGTACTTTTTTTTTTTTGCTTGATAATTTTTATTGTACTTTTTAAATTTCAATAAATTTTATTTAATAATAAAAAGTGTATTGCTAGTGTTCTCTTTAATTTAATGCATCCATAAGTATTAAGATCATAAGATGAAATTAACTTGATTTAAAATTTAATTTTTAGCAAAGTTATTTAATTTATTAGTTTGGACCATTACGAAGTTACCGTCTGGACTAGTGCAAATTTGCTGATATTAGAATGTATTTGCACGAATTTATTTATAAAAAGAAAAGAAAATATCAATATTTTAAAAACAAATTACCAGATTATTAAAACAGTTGATGTAATGATTTGCAATTAATTTAGTCTCACCATAGTTGATCTATGATCAAATACATAGTTAAATATTTTTTAAAAAATTATATTATAGATTAAATAATAAATTAAGTTACTTAAAATTTTCAATTAGTGTGTTTATCCTGTAAGATAATAATAATAATTCGTAAATTAATTTTTATAACTTGATATAAAATTTCTATATGATCAATTTTTTTAGTTGAATTAAATATACAACAATTCCTACTATGAACAACTTATTTAGATGAATTAAATAAATTTTCAATTTGATTTTATGATCAACTTCTTTTTAGTTGAATAAATTAGACTCTCAACGAATTATCTGGTCGAGTTAGTTGATTTGGCCTGTTTTTTTAATGTCTCATATTTATTGGCATATTGAAGATGTTTTTCTAATGAGACTTAGATAATCTTCTTTCTTAACATTAGTTTTTTAAGTATGGGTTAAGTTCAATCTATTTTTAATACAATATTAAAATTTGTTCAATCGTAATGTGTAGTAAATCAAGATGTTATTTAGTAACTAAAATAATACTTATAGGACTTAAACAATTATTTATTCTTAAACTGATTTTTAGTGTAAATTAAGTCTTGTTTTAAATATTTTCTAACGAAAGGAAATGATAAATTAAAACTCAAACTTAATTTTAAAAACACGATATGATAATATAAATTCTACATTAATAATGAATTTAACATAAATTATTTTAATTACCAATTTTCCTCACATCAATTAAAATAATGTTAGATAAAATAAACCTATCTAGAATAAAATTGCACACGCATTAAACTCCTTTGCTTAGGCCCTCTCTTCGAGTATGATCTTCCCGTATTACCACGTTCGTATTCTAATTAATGATCGCCCTTCACAAGCGATCCATAAAATTTAGGCGATATGTTCATACTGATATCAAGATTTAGATAAGTTATACGTGTTTTAACATATGATTTTATAATTAATATTTATTTATATTTTAAACATATATATATATATATATATATATGTTATGTTAAAATAAAAATATTTTTAGATTTAGAGTAAGTTATCTAAGGAGATGAGATCATGAACACAGCTAGCCCAAGAAGAGAAAGAAGCAAAAGAAGATTGAGCAGAGTCAGAAAAGGAGATCCCCAGTTCAAGAGTTGTACTTGAAAGATCATAAAGTATCTTTCTGGTTCACGTTCGCGTAAAACTAGTCCAAAGTGGCAATGGCAGAAATTCAAATTATAGCAGCAGGACCTCGCAGCTATTGCATTACTGAAAAGGTTCTTTGACTAATTGCACCGTTTACAATACCAGATGCAGCTTTGACTCAGATACTGAATTACTTATCAAGACTCTGGGCTCAGTTTCTTAAAGTTATAAAATGATTTTTCATACTTTTAAATAAAAATATTTAATTTAATTTATAGATTTTAATTATACTTAAGAACTTATAATTAATTTATTTAACTTTAAATTCAAGAATTACTTTTTTATTAATAATCACATGAAATACACTTGGGTTTTTCTAGACTTTATATGGTACCTTTGAAATGGAGGTGATGAAAATGAAAAAAGATATAAAAGTATAATATTTTACTGCATTTTAATTATTTTTTATGTCATGAATAGTAGCTGAAATTTAACAATTTATGCAGAGTCTACTAAATTACATTTTCATTCATTTGAAAGATGAAACAAAGCAAAACATAGATGAAGGACGAGAGACGCCGGAAAATAATTTTATTTGTTTTTCAATAAAATTTATGAAATATAAAAGTAAAAATTACTAGTAAAAATATTATAATGATATTATTATAATTTTGTAATATAAATTACTTATTTTTTCTTTATTATTTATTCAAACAAATATACATTTTTTTATTTATTCAAAGAATACATATTTTATTTTTTACTTTATTTTTTATGCTTCACTATTTTATTTTTAAAAAATATATTATTAGTACTGAATTTAAGAGTTTATTTACTGTTATATATATATATATATATATATATATATCGATTATTACACTTTCTTAAACAATTTTTTAAGAAATATGTTTTCTTTAATAATTATATCAGTAATAAAAAATAATAATAATGAAGGTACAATAGACATTTCCTGAATTTAATTAGTGTAATAACTTAACATGATCCGCCTCCTTATAGACCCGAAGATTTGTATTTCATTGATAAATGGTCAGATAAGTTTAATGTCATTAAATGAATGACGTGACCAGTGGCTTATCCCAAATATGTCAATTTAATTATTCTTTATGCAATTCTATTATAAATATTATTACATATTTTCTAAATTTTTATTTAATTTTTTTAGAATCATTATTAACAAGACGGTTACTTTTACCTCTTATTTGGATGATAGGATGAAAAGAAAAAAATAAAAAAAATGTTTCTAGAAAATATTTTTTAATAAAAAAAAAGTACACCCTCTTCGTTTATTTTCCCCTCGTTGAAACAAAGCAAATGTTTTGTGTGCTGAGGAGTTGTAACAGGACATCTGCGGATGGTTAGGCTGCTCTGTTCAGATTCATAACCTTCAAATTCTGTCATACGTAGCAATACAGTATATTATTTTTTACGTGTCTTAAAAAAACCTTTCAGATATCACTTCTAATAATTCACAAAATATTTTTCGAGTAACGATTCTCTTTCTCTTCTCAAGTCTCAACCACCCATTATCAAAGTCAATATTTCGCTCTAAATTCAAAGTAGCAATATCACTTTTATGATGAGCACAATATAAAGGAGTGCTCACCTAAATGTGCATTTGCTAAATGGAGTGCAAACCAAACAAAAGATTTTGACCTATTGACCCCGAAAAATATTATAGAAAAATAAATGGATTATCAAGGAAGAAAATAGGGAACGAAAAGTGTGTGTGTATATATATCATTACATTTTGAGTTATATTATTTACACATTATTTTTTATCTATCTACATCACATCACATTTTATCGTTTATCTTTTCTCTAATTTAATAAGGAATCGGAATCCACAGCAATACTAAAAATGGCGTTAAAACAACGAATCCTGTAAAAAAGATTTCTTCTGTGGGTTGAGAATGAGGTGGATTTTGGAAAGGCGAATAAGTATAGATTGAGGGCATTTTTTCTATTTAAATATATATATATATATATATATATATATATATATACGTGTTTCAAAAATATTTTTTAATTTAATAATAAAAATTAATCTAAGTGACAAATAGTCAGACCGTTTAAATAAATTCTTCTATATTCAAAAAATCTTCAACTACATACTCATTTACTATATCGACCTGAGTCGTATCCAAATTAAACTAGATAAAAAAAATTAATTTGACACTAAAAATTTCCATTATTAGAGTTTAGATTTAAAAAAAACATGTTTTTAACCATGAACCATCCTTGAAAATTTGAAATAAAAAAACAGCAATTAGAATCATTCCCGACAGTCACTATTGGCAAACAAGTAACTGCAACTGGTTTTCATCCTTTGCACTTTATCGTAACTAGTTATTTGACAATTGACATCAAGGTTTGTACGCAAGTTAACCTCTTTATTTCTGACCCTCATAGTGTATATAAATCAGACAAAACAGCACGAGAGAGAGAATCACACACCATCGGATGTAGAGAAAGAAAATGAGAAATGTACTTTTAATTTTAAAAATCATTGTTATTCAGTTAAATAAAAAGAAATTTTTAAAAAAGATCTCTCCAATTCAAATTTTGATGTGCTCCCTATTTTGTTTCTTCTCATCCAAACAAAGAGTAAAAGACATAATTAAAACATTACGCATCACAATAGGCAGTAGTACGAGAAAGAGACGCAATTAGGAATACAAATTTGAGCCAAGTCCATAGCTCATGTGCTTGCACAGAACACACAGAAGACAACCAATATAGACTATATTGAACCACAATAACTCGCTAACAACAAAGGCATTTTTTCACCAGGAAAGCAAGAAAAGCCTGCATGGTCTAAGGTGAAAATATTGAACACAGCCACATCCCTAACAACAACTTAAGTTCGCAATTTTAGAAATCGATTAGTCATATCGCTATCGTTAAACTCCTCGTAGATCCTATACGGGTAAAAGTAACGTTATTCACAGAACAATAAAGCCCCTACAGTGACCAAGTTTACTTTTGGCTAAAACGCTCATCTCCATAATAACCCAAAATAAAAAGGTTGATCTCCTATGTCCTACTCTAAAATAGTTTATCTTCATTAAGTTTTTATCAGATAGTGATCCCACATATTAATTTCTTGCGTTCTACTGGAGAACACAGGAAAATGCTTTTTGTAGTCAATGTTAGGTGGAGATAAAATGCTCCGACTGCGGAGAGGAAAATAATAAACGCCTTCATGCGTTAAAAAATTCTTACATCGTCCTAACGTAAGAATTTTTCTTACATTAATTTGTTTCTTACTCCTCTTCACATTGATAAACAAGACTGTACAACACCTAGGACCCTTATGCTGCACGAATATTCATAACAAATAACCAAATGAGAAATGACTTCAAAATTTGATGAAGAACATGAAATGTTGACCATTTAATGCTCATGAAAAAAAATCATTTATTCTCAAAATGCAAAGGTTTTTAAGACAGTATAAAGTAAGACAAAATTTAGGTGAGGTTCTTTTAAGTTTTGTTCCATAAAGTAAAATCTGATGGAATAGTACAAATCTTAATGACAATCAGACACAACGCATGTCTATAAATACATCGACGTTGAATAGTTTTATCGGAGCGAAAGAAAAAATGGAGCCAAAATAGTTCCCTCATGTTTCCTCTCATACTATCTCTTGGTATTCTTTAACAGAAATGCACAAAGATCCTTAGAAGACAGAATAAAGAAGCCAACGAATATTTCATGTCTTCAACCATATACTAAGCCATACTAAAATCTAAGAGTTTCAACGTTATCTAAAACATAGGAATAGTGGTTTAGTTAATTAGTGTGTTAAGATAATGTCTGAATTAAATTAAGTTTTTAGCGCTCTATTTATTTATCAATATTTTTATTGGATCAACTGATTCCAACTTGCTCCTTAAGGAGATGAAAATGAACTACAGTAATGAAAAGAAGGGGAAAACCTTGGAAGCCATTTCTGTTGACTTAATATAATACCAAACAAATTAAAGATATATAGCGGACACAATTATGCCGCTCCCCCTCCATCGTTCATGAATATCAAAACCTAATTATCTCCTCAACAAAAGAAAAAGAAAATGAAATTATCTCACGCTAGAAAATGATAAAAAGACGCTGGCTAGATTAGTCTTTTTCCTTTTTTGTCGATAGCTAGATTAGACTTTAAGCATTAGTGATGACACAAACTAAAAGCCGAAAGCATGTGTAACCGTAAATAGTATCTAGTATATGGGTCGGATCCAGACATGCACCTAGACAACTTTTTCTAGTACCATCTTGATGGCGTGTAAAATAATGGTAACTTCGCTCAACAAGCTAGGTCCTATTTCAGTGAGATGATGAAACTACATACTACCCTTCCCCTCAAATCTATGGTGATTCATTTAAGAATCTCACAGTCGGTTCAAAGGGTATTTCGCTGTTTCACCACCTTTCCATCTAAAAACCTAAACTTTGACTTCCATGCTTCAAGCAACAAGTTACATGCATATTCCACATTTTCATTAAGTGTAAAATGCACAAGTACAACCAAGCAGAAGTACAATAGCTAAGTACCATTACCATTATACCAGAAAAAAAAGATAAGGGAACATCGTGCCTGCTGTATTATTATTTCATTTAATTTTTAGTGCATATATTGTTTGCTCATACATTATTATCACGCGTATTTTTTTCCTTGAAATGCGGTTTCACCACCGATCTGTAAGTTTCATTTAATAGTACACGGTGCATTACTATTCCCCTCCACCCACAACCCCATATGAAACTATTGTTTTAAAAAAATGTTTACCACTGAATAAAATCGTTCTTGCCCACACAACACAAGCAGAAATGAACTCTTCCAATGTAAATTAGGCAAACAAAGAGAACAAATGACACAAACAAAGCAAAGTAACACAATAAAGTTTACCAAGAAAATAACATATAACAAATTATCAAAAAAATTCTAACCTGGCTTGCTACGATTACAAAGAAACTGTCAGATCACACTGCACAAGTACAAGTCAGCAAGATCAAAGATGAAGAAGGGGTAACAAATAACAATAACAAGCCTTATAGTTATGTTTTCAATAAGGGGGAGGAAGAGGGCGAGGTGAAGAGCCCCAAAAACCTTCACCATTTGGCATCAAATTGGGATTCAAATTATACACAGGCATTGAAACCTGTTGTTGTTCACCCTGAGAAGGAGGAGTTGAAGCACCACCACTTTCATTTACCTCTTGCATATCTTCCTCACCATGTTCATCTTCCAACGGTAACCTCTCATAAGTAGCATTAGCAAAAGTTGCAGCAATTACCATAACAGGCCCAGAAGCCACCAATGGCCCCGCCACCGTGCCGCCGACTACCTGCCCCTGACCGCCGGCCAAATACACGGTCAGTCCGGTGGCCTCCGGTGGTGACGGAGCCGGCAAAAACGCTCCAGAGAGCGACAAAATCTCGAACCTCCCCTGAAGCGTGACCACCCCGCCGGGGGTCGCCGGCTGCCGGAGCGTGACGTTGGTGACAACGCCGCTACCGCTCAGCACGGAGACGCCGCGGTGGCGTCGGTTGGCGAAGGCAGCAATGCACTCCGCCACGTCGCTTCCGCCGCTGATCTCCAAGATGTGGCTGCGAAGCGCGTTGGGACTCTCCTTCGTTATCACTACCGGCGGCTTCGGCTTGTTCTTCGACCCACGTGGCCTCCCACGTGGCCTCCGACCGCTTCCGAGGTTCTGGTCCTCACCCTCACGCTCGTTGTGGTGGTTGTTCTCTTCCTCCTCCACAGCGTTAACGTTGGTGTTGTTGCTGTTTCCACTGTTGGTCGGCGTAGCAACAACGTTGTTGTTGTCGCTGTCTTGGTCTCTTGCATCCCTAAGCTGAAGCGACGGAGGAGGAGAAGAAGAGTTGGGCCCGTGGGGCCTCACGGCCACGTTCCCGGCCCACCAACGATTCGCCATGGTTGGATAACAGAAACAGAGAAATTTCTGACCAGAATCTAGAAGCTTCTACCTTTCTCTCCCTTTTGGCTAAGATCAAGTTCAATGGTACAACTCAAAAAATGGGTTTTGCATGTGAATCTTGACCATATATATTAACTGCCTCTGAATTGGACAAGTCAGATCCATGTATTGAGACTATGAGAAAACACCCACTTGTATATGGAACCAATAAAAGGAACCGTTTTGCATACAATCTGTTGGTGTAAGCGTTTTGCTTTGGGAGTGGGTTCAAAGGGTTAAGAGATTGAAGAGAGAAGAAAGATAGAAACGGGTGAGATTGGAAGCATTTGAATTCCTTGAATCGCTCTCTGGGTTTTGGTGATTGGTTTAGCGGTTATCTGAAAATGGGGTTGGGTTTAGTGCAGTTTTCTTTTCAAGTTCCCAAAGTGTTGTGACTGCCACCTACTCATTTGGCTTCGATCACAACAAAAGGATTAGATTTAGAGCAAGTTGCGCAAAGAGATCATTACGATGCAAGAAAAAAAGGGGGAAAGGATGAATGGGTTCAACAGTGAGCTAGTGAACTAGTTGGGGGAAGTAAGGGCTTAGTTTAGTTTGTATTTAGTATTGTTCATACATGATGAATGCTGAGTCAGTGTGGCTCGGACACCTCGTGGGAAAGGAGTTAAAGACTGAATGCATGGCGTCACCTTTACCTTGTTCTCCAAATTTAAGTTTATAATTAAAAGTCCCAAAATAAATTAAAATGTATGTTTTAATTGTTTATAAATGTTTCAGAGACTAGGTTATTCTTTTTACTTAAATAAATCTTTTTTTATAAGAGTTACTATAAGGTTTTCAATGAACTAAAAATAATTATTTAAAATCCTTTAAACAAAACTTAATTAATTTAAAGACTTTTTTTTATAAGACTTAATTAATGTCAATTATTTAGTTAAAGTTATGATTTATTTGTTGTCTTTTTCTAGTTTAATTTAATCCTAAGCTATGTTTTAGTTTTGTGTTAATCCTTTTTGTAAGTTCTATTTAGGAGAAGTGATATTAGGACTACCATTAATCAACCCTGTTTTAAATGGTGGCATTTTAGTTTAGAATAAAAATTAAGTATGATTATTTAAGGGCATTAATGTAATTTACATATTCTTGAATTTTAACTTTCTATCGAAATAAAATGTTAATTTTAATCAAAATTAATATTAAAAATACTTTTAAAAAGTGACTGATTTAAGGTTCCCTCACATTCACTTATTACTTCCATTTCCATGGTTACACAACTCACCTCCTTCTCTCCCATGTCAAGTGAAGTCTACCAAATGGTTTTGTAACGGAGATTGCTTCCCCCAATAAAAAAATTTAAAATTATTTTTGTCTTTATTACTTTAAATTTCATCATTCATACGTATTATTAACATTATTACTCTTTATATATTAATTATTTTGAACGCACATACAAAATAAATTTATCATAAAAAATATTTTTATTGACCTCTGTATCAACACTAGTACTCTTTCAAAAACTAGCTTTTAAAATTAAGATTTTACACTTTTAAAAATTAATTTTAAAAATTAAATTTTGATACTTCTGAAAATTATTTTCTATAATTACTAATAATTTTCAAAATAAGTTTCAAAATTAGGATTCTAACACTTTTAAAATTTAATTTTTGAAATTAAGTTTGAACACTTAAAAAAATAATTATTTCCAAAAAATTAAAATTAAAATTCTGCACTTCTGAAAAATAATTTTCAAAATTATATGTTTACACATCTAAAAATTAATTTTTAGAATCATTAACCATCTTCTAAAATAAATTTTTAAAAATAAAATTATTTGATGAAAATTGCTTGAAGATCCATTGGTAGAAAAAACAAGAAAGAAGATCATTTATTTCATGAACAGTTATTTAAAATTTTATTTATTGTTCTTTTGAAAACTAAAAACACAGCACAGATTTTCTTCTCCTGAGTCTATGGTATTCTCTTTCTTTCTCTTTACTAAATTTATGCTTCTAAGGTGAGCCCTTCATTGCACTTTGTCAACAAAGTGTTGTATTATAATTCAAAACTCTATTGTGACAGTTAGTGGTTGGTCATTTTTCTGTTACAGCAGGTGGTTAACCATGTGATTAATACTGTAATACAAATTTTTCTGTAGATTGTGTATAAATTCAGTTTCAATGATCAATAAAGTGTTGATCCATTTTTTGTAATTCTCGAAACTCTCTTATTCTCTTTTATCGTAAGTGTGTGTGAGATTATATTCTCTCCAACAATTTGGTATCTAGAGCTTGGAGTTTTTGGGACCAGTTGAAAATCAAGAAAGTGGTGTTGTAAGGGTGAAGAGATATCTTGTAGTGTAGTGGTGAATCATAACAGGTTCAAATGAGAATCTTCTCAACAACTTGCCAATTCTTGATGGTAAAAACTATGACAAATGGTGCATTCAAATGAAGGTCATTTTTTTATTTCAATAAGTGTTGGAATTAGTTGAACAAGGCTTTCAAGAATTGGATGCAAATCCCACGGATGCACAAAGGGTTGTTCACAAAGAAGTTAAGAAGAAGGATTGTAAAGCAATGTTTTTGCTCCATCAATGTGTTGATTCAGCAAACTTTGAGAAGATTGCTAGTGCTAAAACTTCAAAGGAGGCTTGGGAAATTCTCCAAAAGTATTATTCAGGTGTTGATAAATTGAAGAAAGTGAAATTGCAGACCTTGAGAAGGCAATATGAGCTGCTTCAGATGAAGAATCAAGAAATTGTTGGAATCTATCTTACCCAAATGTTGACTCTTATGAATTCAATGAAGAGCATGGGAGAAAAGATTGATGATGTGATGATCATTGAAAAAGTACTTCGAACTCTCACCCCTAAGTTTGACCATATTGTAGTTGCAATTGAGGAATCCCAAGTGAGGAATCCCAAGATTTGGATACAATGGAAGCTGATTTTTTTTAATATTTTTTTAATATGTATAATATTATATATACATATATATGTTAAGAAATTATGTATAATATTGTTTTATTAAAAATATATATCGTAGTATATTAATTTTGTTAAATATTATAACTTTTAATAAAATTTTATTTTAGCCCATTCTAGTTAATTAATGATGTGTTAAACAAATATTTTAGAATATTTTTAAATATTAATTTCCATCTTCATACATATATATTGCACAGAAGTATTGAAATTTGATAGGAAATTAATAACTTTATATAAATTCTATATCATTTCAATTATTGCATGCGATTTAATTAAAAAACGTTTTTAATTAAGTTTTGACATCTTAGAATTATTATTTTCAACACATTTTTTATTATTAGATAAGAACAGTATTAATTTGTTTCAAAAAATTAGTAAGCATTGAATAAAAATATAATTTTATAAAAAAAATTTACCATACAACGAGCTAAAAGTTTAAGAGACACAAAAATTTAAAGGTAGGTCATGCTAGTCTAGCTATCACTAACATCAAAACATAGAAAAAGTATATATTAAAAAATAATAAATAATAATATTTAATTAAAAATATACTAAATTTTATAATAATAAAAAATATTATATATAAATTTTGGCTTTGTGTTCTTAAACTTACAATGAGCTTGATGTAGAGCAGAAAGAAGTCTAGAAGATTAAAATTAGTTGGGTGGAACGACAATTATGCTGCTTTACATTTATGGTTCGCCCGAAACCTGTGTTTGGTTGGGTGTTTCTGTGTGAGTGTGAGGCATTGATCGATAAAGACAATGGCTCGCGCTGCTCGTGGCTGCTTCTGGATATTCATTTTTCATTCAATCAATAAATAGCTCTATTAGTTGCCAACTCTCAAATATATTTGTCTTTTATATATAAATTTAATTAGAATATACTACGTCATAGCTTTTTTGAAAATTACTCTCGTTTTGTTTCTTTAGTTTCGTTAATCTCAATCTTTTAAATTTAATTTAATAATTTTAAATAAAATATTTATTGTTAAATATATGATAATTTTTTTAATAAAATCATATAATTATTAAATATTTAAATTCAATTCAAAATATTATTCTATATTTAAAGTGTTGTACCGAAGAGATGAGGATGCATCTGTATATTTAATAAAAAAATTTCAATAATAACTTGTATTATAAATTTAATAATAAAGAATATTAAAATAAGTTAAAATAATTATTTTAATAAATTATATTGTAAAATTTATTAAAATAAGTTAAAAATATTTATAATAATCCTGAGCACTTTTAATAAATTGTACTGAATTATTTTAAACATGACATGAATATTTTTTTAACACTTCCATTTTAATAATTTTTTATTTTATTTAATTCCAACTCTTTTTTATTTTATTTTTTTTACAAAATTATGTTTTTAGTCCATTTTACTGACTTACTGTAATTAAATATCTATATTTCTTTTATCATGCCACATTGCCTATAAATGGTAAAAATGTAATAAAATTTTTCAAAAGGATTAAAACTAAAAATTTATTAGAATGTATAAATTAAAAATTTTATTGAAGCTTAAAATAATTAACATTTTAAAATTCTTAAAAAAATACTACGCTGGTTCTTATTGCAATATTAATTAACATTTCACTTATTTATTATCTTTTACCGAATAAATATTAGTTATTAAGGATATAATTGTATAAAAAACACTAATTGTTTGTTGATTTTGTAAAAAAAAATAAACATGATAAATAATAGGATAAAATTACTTAAGTGTAAAAGGAAATAAAATGGAGAGAACACCCTCAGTTATAAACCATCGTACAATTTGTAATAATTATTTATTGTAATAAACATTAATTAAATCATTAATTATATAAAAAATGTTTATTATTATCTAATAGTGAAATATCATATAACTAATTGGCGATTTTTGTATGCGTTATACAGTAATTATTAAATTTAAGTGTAAATTTTAAATAATTAATTAAAATATATTGTATAACTAATTCAAATTTAAAAATAAACTTTGTAATTAAAAATGAAACACC